GGGACCTTCTGGCTTTGCAACTCCCTGACAGGAGGTAGGAGCCGGAGGGGGGGTCGGGCTCTGTTCCCAGGGAACAAGCGGTGGACTTATTTATGGTTGGATGACCTTTTCAACCTAAACCATTCTGTTCCACTCATTTCCATCTGCTCTTTCAGCAGGAAGGTGAGCCGGCACTTGGGGATAAAGATCATTCCCAGCAGGACCGTTTCTCCAATCCCCTTCCAACGAGGAGCTGCACAAGTGCTGGTGTGGCAGAACTCTGAGAAGCATGGAGCTTGGAAGGGCTCAGCGGAATGGCAGTGGGATCTCACATGGAAAAAGGTGCCACACACGCTGCCACGGAAAAGCTCTTTGAGAGACTGTCTGTCCCAGCTGGCAGCAGAGCTGCCAGACATTCCCTAATGATTCCCGAGCTGGCTCACTCCCAAATGTGGTGTCTGTGCACTCTGAGAGCGTGTCCGGGTGCTGTGCATGGGCAGAAGAGGAGCAGGGGAGCCAGGAACTGCCAGGCTGGCTCTGCAGCTCCCGACATGTCGGGATCAGAGTGAGCCACTGGAAAAAAATCCAAACACCTTTCCATAACTTTCAGAAGTGTGGATTTTTTCACAGCCTGCAAATCAGTAAGGGAAAGCCAAATTAGCACCCCCAAGTGAACCTTTTATGTGGTAAACATATCAAATACAGCAGGGGATGCTCATTCCATCAATCCTGGAAAGAAACTGTGCGGGTGGATTTATGAAACAATACCAAATGCACTTGGAATCGGGAATTTTAGGAATTTCCACATTCTTTTCACTTTGTTTTTCCTTTGGTTGATTATCTGTTGGAAACAAACTTGGAAAATCAACATCAAAAGTTCAGTCTCAAATGGATTGAAAGGACCTATGGATAGACTTCAGTGCTTTGCCCAGCTGAGGAACAGCTGGAAGGTTGATTTGGAGTTGATTTGGAAGCGGTAAGAGCAGCCCAGAGACCTCGGCATTGTAGGCACGAGCCACTTTGCTACACTCAGGGTCAATTTTGGGGGTTGCACATGACTGGACAGAGGGAGGTTGCTGTTCTGGGGGCTGTTACAGCAGCTCCCTGCCACGAACAGGTTTCCTACTCAGGACTTTTTATTTACTCTTCATTCCTAATCTTTAATCTTCACTTAAATGTTCTTAATCTCCACTTAATCTCTGTTCTTCTGTGACACTGAGTTATGAAAGGGGGATGTGAGGAAGGAGCAGGATTAAGAGGTGAAACAGCTGGGCTGCAAGGGACATTTTCATTGCAAGGTGTCGTTGTCCTTGACAGATCCGAGTGGAGAGGACAGTGCTGGCTCAGCTCCCTCTGCCTCCCTGTACCTCCTTGTGCTCTTCTCCAGATCCTTTTTAAATTCACCACAGTGTTTTGGCTTCCTTTGCTCTGCTTCACTAAATCTGTGGGGTTTTTCCCAAGGAATAAGGCAAGAAGGAGCTTCCTGGCCCACCTTGACTCCAATGTTATGCCCTTTATCCATGTTTTTTGGTCTTCTTATAAGTGGGGTATGTATCATCCTGATCCCTCCAGGCTCCTTCCTATGCATCACACACTCTGTATGAAGAAACATCGTATTTTACTTTTGATTTGCAAATCAGCAGGATCCCAATTCCCATGTAAATGTATTCATGGAATATGTGTTACTGGCAAAAGGAACTGATAATGAATGTCTCTACAGGGCACTGTGAGCACTGGAAATTGCTCCTTTTGTTGGCATTTCAGCTGTAACCAGTGATGGCAAAGCACTGAAGTCCAGACCTTTAAGACCATCGAGTCCCCAGCACTGCCAAGGCCACCATTAACCCGTGTCCCCAAGTGCCACATCCACACAGCTTTTAAATTCCTCTAGGGATGGTGACTCCACCACTGCCCTGAGCAGCTGTGCCAATAGCTGACAGACCTTCCAGGAATTAAATTTTCCTAAATATCCAACCTGAGCTGCCTCCCCTGGCACAGCTGGAGACTGTTCCCTCTCCTCCTGTCCTTTGTTCCCTGAGAGCAGAGCCCAACTCCCCCTGGCTCCCCCTTCCTGTCAGGGAGTTGCAGAGTCAGAAGGTCCCCTCTGAGCCTTCTTTCCTCCAGGCTGAGCCCCCCCAGCTCCCTCAGCCACTCCTGCTGCTCCAGCCCCTTCCCAGCTCCGTTCCCTTCCCTGCACATGCTCCAGCCCCTCAAAGCCCTTCCTGAACTGAAGGGCCCAGAACTGGACACAGCACTGGAGATGCCTCAGCAGTGCCAGCACAGGGGGACAATCCCTGCCCTGGGCCTGCGCCCACACTGGTTGTGACACAGCCCAGGTGCCCTAGGCCTCTTTGCCCACCTGGGCACACCTGGGCTTCTGACCAACCTCTGTCACCAGCACTCCCAGGGCCTTTTCCAGCTTTCCAGCCACTCTACCCCAGACCTGGAGCTTTCCAGGGAGTTGTTGTGACCCAAATGCAGGACCTGGCACGTGGCCCTGTTAACCCTCATGTTGCCTTCAGCCCATGGATCCCTTTGCCGAGCCTTCCTGCCCTCAGCAGATCCACATCCCACCCAACCTGGTGTCATCTGCAAACTGACTGAGGGAGAGACTGTGACTGTAACTGCACAAGGGGGTTTTGTAAACTCTGATGGGAACGTGGCTGTGGAGAACATGGCCAGGAGGCCCCCAAATCCACGTTCACATGGAAATACAAGCTAGAAACAGCTCAAGCAAACAAAAAATGGCTCTTAAATCCACTTGCACTCCCAACACAAAGGGAAAGGAAGGGCTGGGTGCTGCAGGGAGCAGGGAGATAATCCCCTTGGGATCATCTCACAGGTCTGAGTCACTGCTGCAGAGCCTCAGGTGTTCCTGAAGGGTACAGAGGCTCCCCTAGCTCTTGGTTACCCAAATTTAAGCGTGAATGATCTGAGCACTTTCAGATCAGCTGTCCCTCTTCCCCTGTGCCCTGTTCTGCTCAGAGCATTTTCAGGAGCACTGGAGTGCCTGCCACCACTGGGATAGGCCCTCATTCCTAGGGAATTCCAGCTGATTTATCCTTGCCAGTGTCTCCTCAGTCCCACTGCTGAGGGGGAAGAGCTTGAGGAGGGGTGGGCAGTGCCTTGTTCTGCATGAGATTGGTGGACAGAGTTTTGGGGTTTACAATCTCCAAGGGTCAAGGACTGCCTAGATTTGTAAATATAGACCAAGGGCTGGAAAACAAATGGCCATTAAACTTCCTGCAACAAAAGGAAAGGCTGAGGGCACCTGGTCTGTTCAGCTGGAAGAGACTGGGATCTGCAGCTGGGATCTGCAGCTTCCTCACAAGGGGCAGCACCCATCTCTTCCTTCAGGGACCAGGGACAGCACCCAGGGAATGGCTGGAGCTGTGCCAGGGCAGGCTCAAGTTGGATCTCAGGGAAAGGTTCTTCCCCGATAGGGTGGGTGGCACTGAACAGGCTCCCCAGGGAGGGTTTGGACAATGTTCTCAGGGACAGGGTGGGGTTGCTGGGGTTGTGGTGGTGTGTCCGTTCTGGCTCAGGATGATCACTGTGTCACTAACTGTGCTGTAACACCCTGTAATGCTATAAAGCATTGAGATGAAACCCTTGAAAAGTGACATAAAAAAACCCTGTGGTATTAAAAACCCCATGTGGGGGTTAAACCAGTAAAAGCTGTGAAAATACTTTCACCTTCACCTTTATCTGGTAAATTCACCTACATGTTCTTGGGGCTGGGAGGGAGATGGAAGGCAGCCAAGCAGCCTCTGGGTTGTGTCTTCTCATGAGCGTCGAAGCTGATGGAAGCCGATGAGAACTCTAAGATAGGTCAAGCCTGGTCCAGGCCAGCTTGGACAGGGCTTGGAGTGACCCAAGATAGGGGAAGGAGGTGGAATGGCATGAGCTTTAATGTCACTTCCAACCCAAACCATTCTGGGATTCCCTGGGATGAGCTGAGTAAGTGGGATGTCTCCTCCTGTCTCCAGACTCCAAGCCTCACGTGATGTTGTGGTTTGACAAGCACAGAATAAGTCGGTGTAGGGTTAAACTGGAGGTGTGTGCTTTAAATCCTGGCAGTCCTCTCCATGGGGGTGTCCAGGGTTAATCCCTGCACATCCTTTGAGGGTGCCGATGCTTTACTGGTGCTGCTTGTGACAGAAAACAGCCGAGACGTAGAAAAGGTGTTTGCCTCTCCTCGCTGGACGGGTTTTATGGAGAAATAACTCCAAAGACCGAGGGAAAACGCCAGCTGGGCAATGCTCTGCTGCCCTCGAGCGGACACGTTAGAAACATCCCGCTCCCCTCTCCCCACCTGCGCTGAACTGGCGCCTTAAAACTCAAAACAAAGCCCTCTGTAACCAGGTTTTTAAGCGGTTTTCGCGTCCTGTGGAAAGCGAAGGACCACGTCCAGAGCTTCATCTGAAGGGCGCGACATCACCTTAGGGGCGGAGGGCGTGGCTTTCGTGGGGGCGGGGCCTCGCCGAGGGCGGGGCTTCATTGGGGCGTGTCCTTCACCTCAAGGTGAGCAACTCGGGGGCGTGTCCTTCACCTCCCGGTCGGTGAGGCCTCACCTGAGGGGTGGAGAGAGCGGCGCTTCACCGCAAGGCGGGAGGTATAAGGGCGTGGTCTCAGATGGGCATGGCCTGTCTCCCGGTGGGAGGAACTGCGGGGGCGTGGTTTCACGCTAGGGGACGTGGTCTCTCAATCGCGGGGTGGGACCAAAGTTGAAGGGCGCGGCCTTCTCACCGAGGGGGCGTGGTCTTTCGCAGGGGGTGTGGCCGGTCGGGCGCGCGCGCTCCCCCCGCGAGCGCGTCACTTCCCGTGCGGGCGGAGCTGTAGCCGTGGACGGTGTGGTGCGGTCCGGTGCGGTCCGGTCCGGTCGGGGCGGCGGTGGGAGCGGGAGTGAGAACGTGAGCAGCGGGACGGGACGGGACGGGACGGGACGATGAGCGACAGCGGGGAGCAGAACTACGGCGAGCGGGTAATACGCGGAGTCCGAGCGCGATGCGCGGCCGGGCTCCATCCCCTCCCTTTCAGCCCCTTTCCTCCGGGCAGCGCGGCCGCTCCTGTGTCCCCCCTCTCTGTGTCCCCCGTGTCCTACTGGCGGGCGGGCGGGCGAGGGATGCGGCCGAGGCGGTGGCCGTGTTGGCAGGGCCGCTCCCCGCGCGCCCACGTGAGGCGCCCGGCGCCATCTTGGGCCAGGACCGCGCGCCCGGGAGGGACAAAATGGCGGCCCCGGGCCCTGAGGGGCCCCTCGCCCTCCGCCCAGCTCCTGGGCAGCGGCAGCTCTGCACTCCTCTCTCCAGAACCGCCTTCCAGCCCGCTCTTGGAGCTGCTTTCTGAATTATCTACCTTTTGCTGTCTCTCACCTGTAACAATAGCTCTGCTTCTGCCTCACGTCCAGGTTGCTCGGGCTCTTATTTAAACCTAATAGTCGAAGGCAACCCCCTCGCTTTGTAAAACTTGCAACAGATATTCTTTCAAACCTCACAGTTACTCTAAGATCTGACTGCCTGGATGGGTTTTCTACTAATACCGAAGTAGACGAGGTGCTAAGCCTCACGTTTGTGATGCACATCTGCGGTACTGATGACCTCTTTAACAGTCAGTTATTTTTTATTTAGTGGACCAGCTTTGTTTTCCTTTGAATTGGGGTCATTACTTTGTTTTGGGGTTTTTTTCAGCATAATTCTAACTTCCTAACTCGCTGCAGCATCGGAGGGAGCTGTGGAGGTGATAAGGAGTTACATTCTAAACTGGAGACGACAAAAAATATTTAAAAACGTAGTAATCCTGAGCAATGTCTTCCTTAGAATATGGCTTTTCTTTACTATTTCACTATAATAAGGTGTGATACAGGAGTGTTTCTGCTTCAAGGCAGGTGAGGTTAGAAAAATATGGTCTCCAGGAAATTAAAAAGGGGAATGAATGGGGAAAGACAGGGATTAAGGAACTGACTTATGCCACCCCTGGTGTTCTCCTTCCTTGATACGTTCGTGTCACTGGTGTGGTTTTAGTGAGGGAGCAGCATTTGCTCGAGGTGGGTATTTGGGTGTCAGGTGTTTTTAAAGTTGCTTTTTTAATTGTTGTGCAAGTCGCAATGGAGACCAGTTTAAGCTTAATAAAGTTTGCCTTGTGTTTTCGGTCAGAATGAGTGGAAATGTTAAAACTTTTGTAGCAAAGTCTTTGTGAAACATCACCATGCAGGGTTTTGGGGTAGGAATTGCTGTCTTGTTGTTTTTCGATATTTTTATTTAAAAAAAGACAAAAACATAAAATGTCTTTAGGCAGTTTTTGCCGAGGCTTAAAATGAGTTTTGTGTGAAATCTTATGACTTTTAAGTAGATGAACTGTATGCAATTGGACATGTTCATAAAGCAAAGAGTTCCTGGCCTGCTGTTCCAGACTGGAGCAGGGATTGGCTTTTCTAATGCTATTGCCAGTGTTATTTAGGTGGTTGTTTTTTTTTTTTTTTCTTATTTAGGCTTTTATTGTACCGAGTCAATGGCTTTTCTACTTTTCCAAGCTGAAGTCTCTGCAGAGTAGAGTCAGTGTTTGGGTAAATAATCTGGGATGGGATTTAGCAAGTGTCTATGAAGCTGTCCCAAGGCCAGGCTGCCAAAAGGAATCGTGCCCCTGAAAATGTGGTCCTGCTCTTTCCCTTGTACTGTTCCTACAGTCAGTCAGATCTGGGAATTCAATCAGCTGGATCTTTTTTTTAATCCCGTTTCCAGCTGCAGTGGTTTGCAGGCCTGACTGCAATGAGTCCTTACGGGGTGAAGGAGAAATTCCAGGTGCTTTTACCACTTTGGTAAAAGGGGATTGGTATTTCAGCAGCAGCACAAACTTACACTGGCTTTTGTGTCACTTCTAAAAAGAAAAACATCAAAGAAGGAAAAAAGACCCACTTGAAGTCTCTTTTACAGCTTATGCTCCATCATGAAAAACTTTTTCACTGAAGGGGCTATGAATTGCCACCAATACTTCAAATACTGGAATGTGCTTCAGATACTGTCACTGTGCTGCAGTGCCAGGGTTTGCCAAGTTTATTTTGTTTTCATTGAAATTGTTCTCAGGGAAGTTACTGGGATTCAGGCCTGGAGGGGTTGGAAAGAGTTTAGTTAAAGGGAAAAATAGAGTCTCATCCTAGGAATTAGTTAATTCTGATAATGATGGGTTGATTTATGATCAGAAACTTCAGTGTGAGGGCTTTGTTTGTGTGTTGTTTTGTTTTGTTTTTTATCAGAGTGACTTGCATGGTGTAAATGCTCAATGTCCAGATAACTAGCAAGGTATTTCAATAATACATTTTTAAAAATAGTGATTTTTTTTTTCCTTGTGGCAGAGGGAGGTCTAGGAAGGAAGTTTGAGAAGGTTTTATAGACAAGCTGATAGCTCCATGCCTCCAAAAGGATGGATCATTCCCTGTGTTCTTCTTTCACTGGTTGACACTTGATCTGACCTTCTGGAGGGTTGGTTCAGTACCCAGAGCTGTCAGAAAATAATTTGGGTTTTGCTGGTGCGTTAATTCCCTGCCAGCCTGGGGCACTGAAGGAGCCCCCAGGGTCAGCACCAGTGGCACAGGTGGTGGGAAGAAGCTCTACCTTGATTTTTCAAAACACATTCTTTTTTTTGTGGAGTTTGGAAACTTGTGGAAAGGGATTATTCTGCTTTTCCCTCCAGGCTCCCCCCAGCAGAGATCTGAGCTGGTGATTGTGTCCCTCAGGGGGAAGAGGCAAAAGCTGTTGATTTTTTGTTGACTCAGTTGCTAAATTCCATAGTGGAGAAGTCAAGGAATGTGAAGTCAGCACAGACACACCTTGGATAAACGGGCTGCAGATCTGATGTAACATGTGAGGCTGCACCTTTCTTTAGGTAAACAAGTGGAAATACATAAGTTTATAGGAATCTTTGATTATGAAGACCCTAATACTTTTATTTCTCTGTCTTATGCTATTGACTGAAATCTGTACCTTGCATTCCTGTGAGGAAAAACTGGATCTGAGAAGTGCAAAGAACTTGTGGCCATCACAGACCTTCCAACTGCTTCTGCCCATGGAAACCTTTCCTGCCCCCAAATCATCCTGCTGTGTGACATTCCCTGCTCCTGGAGCACTGTGACATTCTTTATGAAATGTGCTTAGAGCTGCTCAAAATACCATCCCTGCAGTATCACACTTTGGTTTTAATGTGCTTAAAGTCTGGAAAGAATCACTTGGAAACCACAAGCCTGGACTTCAGGGCTTTCACCTGAATTCCAGTAATGCCTGAGGGAGGGGAAGAACTGTTGTTAAAGATCAAGGGATTTGATGGGGTTTTAAATTCACGCTGGACAAACTCAAGGTTAGGAAAAAAACAAGGTCATTTAGTAGTGGCAAGAGTCTCGATCTGCTGACCAGCAGTGCTGGAATATAGGCAGAGTAAAGAAGGCTCTTTCTTCCCTCTTCCACATGGCATCACAGGACACAATTTGGCATTTTTAAATAACTTTAAATTCACAGAGGGAAGGAGCAAAAAGGAGGAGAAGAGAATATACAGGACGACAAAATCAGGAGAAACTCCAATTTCAGTGACCTGTGGGAATGACTGGTGTGAACCCTCAGGGGTAACAGGGTGTAAACTAAGTTTGGAATGCTGCACACTCCTGGTTCATGGAATTTTGGGTAGGGAGGATTTCTTGGGGCTTGGGGTGTGAAGGGTGACAACTTGGGAAATTTTGGGGGGTTTTACCGGTCCTAGTGATGTCTGGAGTAGGTGAGGTGCAACAAATTCCTTTGAGGCTCGAATAAAGAAGTGGCATAATCCTGTAAAATGTGGATTGGGGATAATCTAGAAACAAAATGTGGATGTTTAAGAATTGGGAAATGCTGTGAAGTCCAAAGGAGCTGGATGAAAATGAACCAGCAGTTCAGTTTTTCTGATTTGAGAGACAATTGTTTGAAGGATTTTTCTTCTCAAGTTCCTCTGTCCAGATCCCACATCAACCTTAACATAATACAGCAAAGATTGCCCGAGAAACCTACCAAATAAATGAGGATTCACCAATTCTCTCCTGATTCTTCAAAGGTTTTGACTTTTAAAAGCTCTGCAAAGGGTTTGGGGTGTGTTTGTGGGCAAGCTGCTCCCTGCTGCTTCCCTCTCATCCTACATTTCTCCTATCCTTTCCAGCATCAGTCCCCCTGTATTTGGGCATGGCTCCTTCTGTCTTGCCCAAATTATCTTTTGTGAATTAAAGTATTTTTCCTCACATGAAGAACTGCTAATTTTGGGTTTTAACCCTTCTTCAATCTTGCTTTGCCTAACTTTTTAGGAGTTAATGGCTTCTTGTGGCTAAATTAATACATTAACTCAGACCTCGTCTCTGTGGAATGTTTCCTTTTGAAGGTAGCAATGAATTTAGGTTAAATCTGATAATTGTAACTTTAATTACTTCTCAGTGTTTGCCTTGCCCTTTGCAGGTCAGTATATGGGGCAGCTGTAGTTTAGAACAAAACCTTACAAATTTGAACAAAGAATATGGCCTTGACAACTTTGGGTAATTTCTGTTGCTCTTGGAATTAATTGAAAACCTGCTTTTCTGTAAGTTAACCCTTTCCCCCTCCTCCCCCCTAATACTGTATGGTAGGGAATTGTAAAGAGCTAAAATTTGGGTTAAGTTGTATGGAAGTGGTTTAAGCCTGATTAATTTTGAGTTAGCAAATGAATTTCTGAATGCTCAGTCCAAGATTCGTGTTAAATTAGTGTTCGGGTTTGAGATGTTGCACAGCTAAAAGAAGGGATTTTTGATGAAAATCTGGTACTGTGGTGTCATTAATGATCGTTCTTCATCACAGTTTACACTAAATGTAGAATTCTTTTTTAGGAAGAAGTAGAATTTTTGCTGAATTTTAAATTTCCTCTAATACCTTGAAATTCAGAATACCTCCTAGTGTGTTCAGGTGTTGAAGGCATGTGACTGAAGCTAAGCATTCCACTGACCTAAAGATAAAAATCTATAAGTTGAAACTGCTAATTAGGTTATCTCAGTACCAAAGCAGATTACCAGTAAATAACAGAGCAGGTGGGGTGTGATTGCAGAGCACTGTTGGAGCGTGGGGCATTTTTGGGCGGTGGAAAATGCTGATTTCCATGGAAGCACAAAGCCCAGATGTGTAACCCCCTCTTGTGCAGGCAGCTGGGGTGAGTGTGCTCAGAAATCTTCACACCAGGGCTGCTCAACTGCAAAATGGCCCAAAGTTCATATTACTGGAGCTCACTGAAGGCCCAACCATGTTGTGCTTTCTGCATTCAAAAGCACATCGGTCGGTGGCCACAGCAGGACCTTCCTGGAGTCACTTCTGGTGGATTTTGTCTCACTATGTGGCTGACAGTACAAATTGAGTTTCCTGATGCTACAGTTCCTTAGTAGGTACTCAACTGATCCAGTTGCACTTGCTATATTAAATACAGGCATAAATAGCAAATTCAGTTGCTTAGTGTTAAGTTAAACTGAGTTGACTGAACCTGTTGATAAAATCATAGGGCTTTGGTAGATTCAATCCTTAAATTGCATTTATAGTAAAAGTCCATAGCACATTTTTTTTTTCTAGTTTCAGTTTTGGCACTAGATTTTATCCTGGAGTTCTTAAATATTCTTCATCCTGTTCTTTTTCTATTAAGGTTAATGTTGAAGAAGGAAAATGCGGAAGTCGCCATTTGACAAGTTTTATAAATGAGAATTATTTGAAGCTCAGGAATAAGTGAAGCTGAAATTTGAAAAAAAAGAAAGTGAATGCATGCTAATTATCAGACCAGAAGTCCCACTTGTAGAATATTGAGCAATTTGTGTGAAGTGGGGAAGATGAAAGAAGTCAGAATTTGAAACGGAAGAATGAAGAAAAGGAATAAAAATGAAGTTAAGATAAGAAGTAATCTGGAATCTGAAAGCACTACGCTAAGTAATTACTAGTCTGTTTATGTGTCCCTGTATATTTTGCTAAACATGCATGCATTATCTGTTTAATAGCAAAAAGTACATGCAGGGTAAAGAAGTGTCTACCAGGGAAAAAAAAAAAAAAGAAAAAAACAACAACAAAAAACCAAAACAAACCAAAAACCCCAAACCAAACAAAAAAAAAAACCAACAAACAACCTCCTTAACAATCTAGGCAGTGCTAATCTGACTGCCCGGACACATAGCTATGAATATTTCCATTGATTTCACTGGAGCTTGTTTGCAGCCCGTAGGTAAACAAGGAATTGTGTCCCAATTAGGCTTTCAATATCTGCGTGCAGGAATCCCGCTCTGCTTCCAGAAGCGGAAGTGCTCATGGGTCTGGCAAGTCGGGGAGACACACCCCTGCAAGATCTCGCTCTAAGGAGGATTCCAGGCGCTCCAGGTCAAAATCTAGATCCAGGTCTGAATCCAGGTGAGTTTACTTCTTTTACCTCTTCCTCTTCACAACTCAGGTGGTTGTGTCCGAGGTGACGTCCAGCTCATCCGGTTCTACTCCCAGAGTTACTGGGGAATCTGTGACCATGGAATGCACGGGGCCACCAGTGGTTTCAGGATTGGGATTTTTGCAGCTTTTTCCAAGAGTCAGCTACATAGGAGGTAGTCAGCTCTGTAGGTTTGTATCACTTGACTCACTGCCTTTTACCTCTTGGAATATTGACTAGTTTTCTGAGCAGGGAGTGGTAGGAACTTTTTTAGGATTGCCCAGTTTAGGTCACATTATGTTTTCTCATGGTGTTTCTGGAGTAGGTAGTGAAAAGCAACTGCAGAGATAAATGTGAATTTTGCAGTCTGACCTTTTAAATACATTAATTGAACTTGAAAACTAACAGGCTAGGAAGCTTTAAATACTAGACAACTTTCCAAGCTCCCAAAAAGAGTTGTGGAGAAAGTAACCTCCTCATTGTATTTGTTACATGGCAGCACAAATACACTGTGAACGTGCCTTTTGCACTGTATTACCTCTCCTTACACACTGATCTGTGTGCAGGGGCAGATGGTTGAGTGCTGACTGCAGAAATTAATGTGTTGATGGTTTCTTCACTCGGTTGTAGGCATTCAGGTTAAAAAAAGTGGGGTTTAGCAGAGGGGGTTCCAGTTGAGATGTTCACAACGTACTTTTTACATGAACAAGCAGGGAATTACCAAAGCCTGGGGGGAGGATGGTAACACTGGGAGATTCTGTGGTATTAACAATCACAAATACTGTGTTACACCTTGCAAGATCAAAAGTGAAAGGCTTTTATGAGGAGGAAAATGGTTGGGAGGTTTTGACAGCAGAAGAACAAGGTTTATTGTCCAATTCAGGCACAGTCACAAGTGTGAAATCATGCACTTGGCAGTCCCTGGAGTGCAGGAACAGATGTGTCAAATTAAATTAATAAACACTTGGTGGAGTAGCACCATTGGAGACGATGGAATTGGAGGGACCTCTGGAAGTGGCAGCAGTGAGGGAGGGATAGGGCAGCTCAGGAAGGGTCTAGTCCCAGATCCTGCCCAAGGCATAGTCAGCTCTGGGCTCAGACTGTGCTCTCAGGGCTTTGTCCAGCTGGGGTTTGAAAACCTCAGGGGGCAGAGGCTGCAAAACACCTTTGGGGAACCTTCTAATTTTACAGTAAAGTCAGGAGCCCACCCAGCATGTCCTTCTTCCCCTTAATCCACGACCTCAGGGATTCCATACCCACATTTCCCACTTGCAGAATAACCATAATACTGAGTAAGGATGCAATCACAAATTGTATAAAATTCTGAAGAAGTAAATACAAGGTCTAGAATTCGCAGGAGACCTGGTAAATCATTTACTTTTACAGGAAATCAGTCTTTAAACAATACCCTGGTAACTTGGCTTTATAATTTTTGATGACCAGAAGTAGCGGTTTATGACGACCACAGCTTCCTGAGCATTTAACAGCTGTCTTGAAGATGCTTATGGCTGGAAATACTGGAACTGTAGAGTAGGGTTACTGTTCTTCAGCAGGTTTGGGTGGAATTGTGTCAAGGCACGTATTTAGAAACACTGTATTTTAATCTCTCTTCAGTGCTGTCGCACCTTGGGATGTGGTCATGGGCACATAATATAAATCTGGCTCTCCCCAGAGAAATAACCCTGTGAGAACTTTAATATTTCTTGGTAGTTTCTGTTGCAAATGTATTTTTGAGCTTTGTAAATTAAACTTTGATTTGGGAACCAACCTGTGTCCTGATGTTTTTATCATTGGGGGTGTGGATATACCTGATTTAAAAATCTGCTTTTATTGAAGTGTGCAGCTTGTTATCTTTGGCTGGACCTTTCTGGTACCTGGAATATCAACTCTGTGTTTGCCTGAATTTTTTTTTTCCCTATATCTGGCTAAAATGTGGCTGTGTGCATGTGTGGAACCTCTTTTATTATTATTACTATTTCAGTCTATTTTTTTTTTTTACTGTCTTCCCAGCTTCAGGGAAGTTGTTTTTGTTTTGTTTGTGTAAACTTTCTGTTGCCAAAAATAATGTTTTCTTTCTACATACATAGTTAGAAGTGCTCTAATGGGATATGCTGAATTAATTTCTCCTGGGCTTGGATATATATTTCAAGTTGAGCTTACCTGGCTCACTGCTGATGAGGTTGGAGGTGTTTTTTCAGGAGATCTGTCCTGCAGTTTGGTTGTGTGTTGACAAGTGGGGAGAAATCCTGGCTGTGGAAGAAGCTGTTAAATGCTCAGGAGTAGAAAACAGTTCAGGTTCAGAGCTTCATTCATGCTGGTGTGGTGGTGCTGTGGAACTGGAGGAAGGACATCTAAGACACAAGAGTCTAAAAATCAACAATTTATGGCTTAGATCCATTGACTATTAAACTGTTAATTGCACTTCTTAACCTTGCAGGGATTTTTCTCGGGAGTGGTGTAAAATTCAGGTTATTCAGTGCAGACATCACAGGCCAAGGTCAGGTGTAGTACCCCAGTGTAAGTGCCTGCCCAGCTTTTCCCCTAGGACTGGCTGTGCTGGGAGGGCTTAGGGTCTGGGAGAAGGAATGCAAGTGTTCCAGAACCTTGTGTCCACAGAGCTTGTGCTGTCAAAAGACATTCCCTGGGGGAAAAAAAAATCAGTGAGCAGTTGCACCTTTGTCTGAATACAATTGGAGTGTGAACATGTCAGCATTGATAAACAACTGCTGAAATACCAGCAGGTAAATGACCTACTGCAGCTTAATTCCTGCAGATTGTGTTGAGCTCTGTTCCAGGGGTGTTTGCCAGACTTCAAAAGTGTATTCATTTTTCAGTGCCCCCTCTGCAGCAGTGCAGGCTTTATGTGACACTGTACTCAGGTTCCCTTTATCTCCTAAGGTTTAAAAGAGAGCCACCCCACCTGTTTTTACCTAAATACTGAATATTCTAAGCAATACTGTGTCAAACCAAGAGAGCCTTGTTAAAGGAAGTTAAAAAATTGACTAAAGGAGAGGTTCCTGCAGGAATCTGACAGTGACTATTTAGCACAGGGTCCTTGTGAGTAGTGACTAAATTGAAGTGAAGGGTGTGGGATTGCAGGACTTCGAAGAATGAGCTGTTTGTGACTGTGATGTGTTTTTGGAGGGTTAAAACACCCAAACAAAGCCAACACTGTCCCTCTCTTCCCTCAGATCTAGATCGAGGAGGAGTTCCCGCAGGCATTACACGCGATCTCGCTCCCGGTCCCGCTCTCACAGGAGATCCAGGAGCAGGTCGTACAGTCGGGACTATCGGCGCCGGCACAGCCACAGCCACTCCCCCATGTCGACTCGGAGGCGTCACATCGGGAACAGGGTATGTCTGGTCAGGAATGACTCACAGTCCTGAGCACAGCCTGCAGTCCGTCGGCCTGGGTGTCTTGTGCTGTACCCTGAGAATACAAAGGGGTTCTGTGAGAGGAGGCCTGTGTTCCTCTGGATTGTGACAGTGTCTCCATTAGCAGGTGACCCAGCCCAAATCTCAGCCCCGTCTTTGTTTTATCTTGGAACCCTGGCAGTCACAACCTGCACTGCAAATACAACCTGTTTCCTCCTAATGTCAGTCTGTCCCTTCTTTTAGGCAAATCCTGACCCAAACTGTTGTCTCGGGGTGTTTGGGCTGAGTCTCTACACCACAGAAAGGGATCTGAGAGAAGTTTTCTCCAAGTACGGGCCTATTGCTGATGTTTCCATCGTGTACGATCAGCAGTCCCGGCGTTCCAGAGGATTCGCCTTCGTGTACTTTGAGAATGTGGAGGATGCCAAGGAAGTAGGTTGGGGTGTACAACGTGTGGAATGTTTGTGGGCTCTCACTTGCACGGGTGCATATTCTGTCACCTGGGCAAACTCAGGGCCTGAAAAGTACTTGGCATCTCATAATCATGGAATTTGGGTTTGTGAATGCTACAGAATGAATGGGGAATTCTGTACTCACCCAGTGGAGAATCCTACACCAGTGCCAGCCCTTGCAGAGCTGTGTGCTCATGGCCTGGAACCAGGCTTATATTCTCATAAATCCCGCTTCTGAAACTCTCCAATGTCTTCTGTTCCACATCTGGCATAAAGGCTTCCACGTGGGATTGGAGCTTTGAGTGTAGGTCCTGCTACTTGGCAGGAAAAAAACCCAAGCCACAATTATTTTGGGTTCTTTAATTCAGATTTACTTATGACTGATATCATTATATTCATGGTTATGGTTATTTTTAGGCGTGTGTTGGAGGAGAAAAAACACTTAAATCAACATAGTGCTCTTAGTTAACTGCTGAATTATTTGCTGCTCCTTGTGTATTCGAGTAGTTGCATCTCCCTACATCAACATGTTCAGAGGTTCCTCTTAATCATGTTAGAGGCACTGCTACACTTGTTAAATTATGTTCCTTTCAGGCTTTTAATGGCTTATAAATCACATTTTCAGTGGTTACCGATGTTTAAGTCCCGCTGGTCTGCAGCGTCTTATGCTTTATGTTCAGTACTACACAGAAAGTGTGAGTCAGACCTGACTCCAAACTGAACCCTTTTAGGACTTTAGCACTTAAAGCAATGGTTAGAAATCTGTATTGATACCAAAGTTTATGCCCACAGCTGATGGTATTTTATCATTCCTTAGGCAAAGGAACGTGCCAATGGAATGGAGCTGGATGGAAGAAGGATCCGGGTAGACTTCTCCATAACGAAAAGACCTCACACACCTACCCCTGGAATCTACATGGGAAGACCCACTTAGTAAGTTACCTGTGTGGGGATTTTTTTTCCAAACCAGGATTAGTTGCCTTGTGTTTTATAAGAATTGTTGTTTTCCCTCTAAGGTACCTGGTTCTGAGTCTTTTTCTTGGTTTATCAGCCTTTTGCCTCAACCATCACTAGTGCATCTCTTTCCAGCTCTTTGGATTCAAAAAGTCTACAGTACAATTTTTAATTTCTAAATTATTTTAAGCTTTGCATGCTCAAGTTTTCAAGAGTGAATGAACATCATGAAATGCTGATGGAGCAGCTGTGTGGCTTCACTAATATTTGGGATTAGCAGTTTACCCTGTCCACACAGTACACTTCTGACTTCCAGTTGCCAAGAATGTAAATTGTTTTCCCAAGTCATTCCCCAGTTGATTTCCCAAGACTTTCAGCTCACTGGTGGTTATGTTGGTGTTGTGTTGAGACTGCAGGTTATGTTTGTAATCAGAAAGTTCATTCACGTGGAGCTTGCTCAGAGTTCAGAGTGAATGAAGAACTGTCACAGAATGGAATTCCTCCTGTGCCTGTGATACCAAAAGGTTAAGAGTTTGCAGACCGGAGAGGAAAGGACCTGGCTGAAAGTTCAAGCATTTAAAAAGCAATTATTTAAGTAGTCCTGTTCTCACCTGCATTGGTCTTTTCAGCTGTGAGGATGGGAGGTAATACATAACCCCGTTTAAACATTGTGAACTTAACTGACTGCAAACAACGTGGATGTTTAATATCTGATAAAATAAACTCTCTTTCCCTCCTCAGTGGCAGCTCCCGACGACGAGATTACTATGACAGAGGGTATGACAGAGGGTACGATGACAGGGACTATTACAGCAGGTCATACAGGTGAGGGGGTTTAGGGTATTTCACTGCTTTTTAAACTCTACTTTACCATCTACCTGCACAGGCATTATGCAGCCAATCCTACATAAGTGTGACAAAATAGTTTTGCACTCAGTGTCATTCTGGAACCTTCCTGTGAAATCATCACCAAAATGACAAATCACATTGGTCACACTGAGAAATACTTTGTGGTGTTTAACTTGTGGCATGACTTAGTCCATAATGTTTTCTTAGTCTGCATTGAGTGTGTTTTTTATACTCTGCTTTTAGAAGAATCTTTTGTTGATTCATCTGTTAGCACTGAAATGGTTCAGATCTGCTACTTGAGTTGGGATTCCAGTGCCAGCTTAGATATTGACCACAGTGTAGTAGTCAAAAAGAAATTTCAGTGGTCCCCAGTATCTCCTGATAATTATGGTATCTCAAATGTTACAAAAAATAAGGAAGTGGGGATTGTGACGGACTTGTTCTGTACTGGACATTTGCATTTAAAAAGCTTTCTTATCATACCTCATCAGGTTGAATATGTGTGTAAACAACTTTGGGGTGTAATTGGTTCTAATGATGGAGAGGTTTGTCTTCTGCATTTTCCAGCAAGTCTTGTCCCCTGTAAAATCCTCACAGTTTCTGGGACACTGTTCAGCTGGACACAAATTCAAGAGTTTATTTTTCCTGCCTGCAATCACCAAGATTCCTGTAATTGCAGGATTGTGTAGTAGTGCTTCTCAGTGGTTTGCAAAGCTTTAATGCCTCTGCAGTAGGTGGATTTAGGATTGTTTCCTGATGGCAACCATGTCTTCATGGAAGTAGCTGGATTCTTGGCCAGAATTGGTGTGTGGCTTTCAGATGTGGTAGAAGGCTCTTGGATCAATCATCTAGTTTGTTTTGGAGCACAAGGTGTAGAAACTTGCTTGGCATAGCTAAAGCTTCACCTCACTTAATGTGCTGAAAGTAATTAACCGAAGTACTGAAGCAGCTCACCAGGATCTTCAGGCACAGGAAGGACTTACAACATACTCTGGTGCTACACAGGCTGTTAAATGGTACTTCCAGCTTGCTTCTCCCGCTCTCCTTGTTTTGTATGGAGTTCTGATGTAAATATCAGAATAAAGGCACCCAAGGAGAGCTAAAGATGTGGCTCTGCAGTGCTTGGTGAGAGTTTTGCACCATCTGTCTTGCACTTCTTCTGAGCTCAGATTTCCTCATTCTCTCAGGAAGGGTCAGTCGGGGCGTGCAGGTTGTCCTTGAAATCTGTTGCTTGTGTGCCCTTCAAATGTAATTTATTCCTTGTTTAGATGGTGGCAGGTGCCCAAATGTTGAGTGCCGAAGTGGTTCCTTTTCTTCCTGACCAATGGTCAGGTGTTCTGTGAGGTGGGTCAGGAGTGTGACAGTAACCTGCTCTGTGAAAGGTGTCACTGCCCATGACAGGGGGTGGAACAAAATGGACTTGAAGGTCCCTTCCAACCCAAACCATTCCATGATTCCAGGAAGATGGAGCCACAAATGCCTCATGTGTGGCTGCTTTAAAAATATTGGGATCTGCTGCTCTCTCATCCTTGTGGTTCAAGGGAGAGTGAGGGAGAGAGGTGTTGGGATGTTGTGAGTGCTTCCCTGAGGAAGGGAGGCTTGGAATTGTTAAAGATGCAGTGTAGCATAGCATACCTCACCCTAAAAATTCAATTAGTAACAATCCCTTTGCCTTCCGTGCCCTGTGTGAAAATAAAGCCTTAAGGGAAATACAGTGTCAGATGGGAATTGTCCTGTTAAAACTTTAACTTCTCATTTCCATGGGAAACTTAATTTTGCCTGGAAAAGTATCTATAAGCTAAAGAGTAACCTTAAAACCAATCACCAAACCACAACTGAAGAAGACTTTAAACTTGATTTAGTCTCCTTCTGGTAACACTTTGCTGATCTAAGTCTGGACCAGTCCAACCAGTTAATATTAAATACTGTAATAAGTTGTTTCTGTTCTGTGCAAGGAGAAGTTGTATCTCAGCTCTTGTTTAAATGTTAAAATGTTGGGGTGTGGGAGGTTTTCCTGCCTCCACCTTGGAATCAACATTTGTCCTCGGGGTACTGAGTTGAGATCTCACTAGTTTAAAAAAGTTATTAACTCAAAGGGCCTGCCTTAAGTGGGTAAAAATGAACATAATGAAGTAATTCAGCATCATCCAGAGTAGGAGCCAATGTTCTCTTGTCTTGACATCATTTTCTTACCCTTGATGATGTTTTTTGCTCGTACAATGAACTTTTTGTTTATTTTTTAAATCCTTAAAAGTCATTCTGCTTTTGCTTACACAGAGGAGGAGGCGGCGGTGGAGGAGGAGGCTGGAGAGCTGTTCAGGACAGGGATCAGTTTTACAGGTATTTGCTGGATTAGTGGAACTGGTCAAGGAAACACAAAACTTGGGAGTGCCTGGATCAGAGGGGTTTGGGGGCGGGTTGGCTGTAGCAACGACTGCAAGTCAAATAAATCTTCATCTTGGACAAATAATTCAGATTAAAATTAAGGTGGATTTATTTGTCTTACCCTGCTTGTTTGGGATGCTCCTGACTTACATACGGGCAAATTGTGAGTGCAAGAGCTTTTTTCTGTTGTGAGAGTCAAAAATAATATTGGACCTGGTGTTAAAAAAAAGGTTAAAAAAGGAAATTCACATCTTTGCCATGTTACCCACTGGAAATGTTGCTCAGCTCTTCCTTCCTGTGCTCATTAGCTTCTCCAGTGCATTCCCCAGACCAGGGTGGGGTTAGAGGTATCCACAGGGTTTAACAAAGGGATTGTTTGTGTCCCCCACTCCAGGAGGAGGTCACCGTCCCCATACTACAGCCGAGGGGGCTACAGATCCCGGTCCAGATCGCGGTCCTACTCACCTCGTAAGTACTCGTGGAGTCCTGCAGTGGGTTGGGTTGGAAGAGACATTAAGCTCATCTCGTTCCCCCTGCCATGGCAGGGAACCTTCCATAGAGCAGGTTACCCTGTCCAATGTTGCCTGGCCTAGGCCTGGCGTAATCTCAGAGTTCACATCTCAAAAGCAAATTTCCTCTTTCCCTGAAGGTCTTCTGAGCTTTGGTGTCCATAAGGATTGACTTCAGTGTGGTTCTTTTATTGAGCCACACTTCCTTTGAAGGTTTCAGTGAGCAACTGGCAACCTTGAGAGCAGAGCAGATGTTTAATGTGGAGAAAATAAATGAGAGAACAGCACTTCTTTTGAGGTTGAGATCCTGTTCCTTTCTCCAAAACTCTCTTAAACCAGGAGTTTGGTTACCTCCAGGACATGAGGCTCTAGAATTTAATGCAGGTTTGAAGGGAGGCAGTGAGCTTTAGCTACAAATCTCTCAATCCTTGAAGTTGACAGTGTATTTTATGGTGTTTGTTTTCTCTTCCAGGTCGCTATTAAAGCATGACATGTAGAGGGATTTCTAGCTACAGCCTCTTGAGTTGAAATTGCAAGTTTGTGGACAATTTTTTTTATTGTCTCTTCTGTTTAACCAAGTCACAGTGCCTAGTGAATTAGGTGACTTTGACACCTTTTATGAGGACAACTTCTGTGGTGTTCAGTGCTGTTTCATTGTTTCATTCTGCATATTTGTGTAGTTGGTGCTTTGTTTCCAGTTGTGTTTTGAAAGGAGTATGTTTTGCAGGTTTTTTTTTAGTCTCCATTTTGACTCCTGAAGGGTTTCTATTGTAAAGACAAAACTGTGCAGTTAGTTTTTTCTACTGATTCCAAGTTACTCCTCCCAAGATCCAAACCTGTGTGAAATGCTTTCCAAAAGTGAAAAATAAAACAAAAAGAAGTTTGTTTTTTTTCTTTTCCTGCTTATTTTTGCCAAGAAAACAAAAACCTGCAGGGAATCCTGGGGCAAATGCCATCCATTCCTTTCAGGATCAACCAGTCCTTTAATGTCCCACAAAAAAAAATTGCACTTAAGGTACTTCTCAAGTCCATTTCTCACTTCTAAAAGCAGCCCTGAATCCCTCACTTGGGAATCTGTGCAGTTGGATCTGTGAGCTAATTACTTTTTAATCTTGTGTTGGAGGAACTTTCCACACTGGTTCATGGTGGGAATGTGGGGGTTTTGTGTAGGAATAATGGTATAGTCATTTCTGGACTCAAAAGTGATGCTCTCTGTGGATGTAGGGTAGAAAATTCTTGCCCTGTTTGCTCAGAAGGAGTTTGATAAATCCCATGGAGCAAGGGACTGAAGGAATAGGCCCTACCTGCTGCAGCTGCATGGAGAGGAGGTGACCAACAACAGCACACCAGGTGTCAGGGATTTACAAATTATCCAGGGTTTTGTTAAAACTTCCCTGTCTTACTTGTCCTGAGTGGACAACGGGATCAGGGCAGTGATTATTTTTAACCGTCTGAGCAATAACGGCCCATTTAGGGCTGAAGTTGTTCCTCCTGTTTGACACATTCCTTGGAATGTGTCACATGGCTCCTGTGCTTGAGAGCGTCCCAAATCCCTGTGCCAGATCCCCACTTGGTGTGAACATTGCAGGCCATGGTGCTCTGTGGATCATGGAATCCTTTAGGTTGGAAAAGCTCTCTAAGACCATTGAGTCCAACCATCCCCCAGCACTGCCAAGCCCACCACTAACCCATGTCCCCAAGTGCCACATCCACATGGCTTTTAAATCCCTCTTGGGAGGGGGACTCCACTGCTCGGGGCAGCTGTGCCAATACCTGACAGCCCTTTTCAGGAAGAAATTCCTCCTGATGTCCTACCTGAACCTCCCCTGGCAAGCTGGAGGCTGTTCCCTCTCCTCCTGTCCCTTGTTCCCTGGGAGCACAGCCCGATCCCCCTGCAGCTCTCCCCTCCTGTCAGGGAGTTGCAGAGCCAGAAGGTCGCCCCTGAACCTCCTTTTGTCCAGGCTGAGCCCCCCCACCCCCAGCTCCCTCAGCTGCTCCTGCTGCTCCAGCCCCTTCCCGAGCTCCATTCTCTTCCCTGCACATGCTCCAGCCCTTCAGTGTCCTTGTCATAAAGGCCAGGGAAGGGTTGGATCTGGATGAAGATGAGTTGGAAGAACTAGTGGTTGTGTCCATGGGAGGCAGTGCTGAGAGGTGCACATTAAAGCTATTCCTGGGCTTTGGGAAGCAGCTGCTACAGCCTTGCCACAGGCAGAGCCTTTTGTCCGGCGCTTCCTGCTGCTGAATCATTCCAAGGGCTCTGTGTGCAGGATGAGCCCCGGTCAGACACTGCGGGGTGTAGGTCAGAGACTGCGGGGTGTAGTATTGCCCCATGGCGCTGCTGACAGGCTGCTGTGGTATGTGATGAGCTGGAAACCATGGCTGGAGGTCCTGCAGCTCTGCCAGGAGCCAGGCAGGAATTACCCATGGGGAGGGGGGGTAGTGTATCCTCACACCCAGCCTGGATCCTCTCAGGGCAGGGAGGAATCCTCTGCCAGAGCAGCGTCTGCTGGCTGGATGTGACAGGCTGTGCCCTTTCCTGGCCCGCTTTCCCATCAGGAGCAGGACAAATGCAAATCTTTGGAGCACGGGGACGGGAAAAAGGAAACCAGGAGATGTTTGCGCTACTGGTGTCGCCCCACATGTGCAGGTGGAATTTCCTCTGGAGCAGTTTGGGCCTCTGGCAGTGCAGGAGATGGTCCTGTCCCTGTGCAGCCCTGTGGCACCTCCTCACTTTTTCTCGAGAGAGCTGCGGAGCATCAGGGCAGTTGTGGGTCTAAAAATCCTATTTTTCCTTGCAGCTCCTTAGTTTGGGTTCAAGGGGTTTATTTTGCAGCTCATGTTTCAGCTCCAGCAAATCCATCACATGCAAGGCAGGTGCTCCCATCCCAACAGAGCTGCTTTGGAGCTGGGAGAAGCTGATCCATTAATTTTCCTGCTCAGACACAAAGGGTCCAGCTCTATAGGTATCCATCTCTGACCTTCACAGTACCATCTTGATCCCACACATCCTATACCTTGGAGCTCCCCTTGGGAGAGTCAGCACAACTTGGAGCCTGTTGGGAAGGAATTCCTGGTCCTGTCCCCCATTCCCATCGTTCCTGTCTCACGCTTGGCCCCTATGCAGGTGTAATTAACACAGTCATTAATCTAATGACCTTGCCATGGCAGTGCCTCCACCTTGACATTCCCGACTCTTAAAGACCTGGAAGCTTCCAAAATCCAGTGAGTAATTGGAAGATTTTCACTTATGTCCCAGCAAAGAGTGAGTAAAACAATTCCCAAAGGGCTTGAAAATCATGGATGTGTTTTCCAACCAAACTTTTCCAGCTCAGCTGTTCCTGAGGGATAATCCCAACTGCCAAAGTGGGTTGCTTCCATCCCAGTCCTCGATGCTCTTCCCTCACCTCTGCAGCAGCTGTGCTGTTGGCTCACGGGAGGCTTCCAAAAGCCAAAACCCACAGTCCAGACAGTTCATCCACAGTGTGTTGGTGGGAATTTGGGATCTGCCTCGTACCTTACCCAGGGTGGTGAAGGGCAGGTAGGAGCTGCTCTGGCAGCATGCTCCAATCCCACTCCCTCTCATGGCACATGGAGTCACCTCTGGAACACACTAGGGAAAACAAGTCCTTTTGGAAATGAAAGGTTAATTTTTAGGACAGGGTTTACTGGGAGCTTGTTTAGGCATTGCCTGTCCTGTGTAGTCTCTGCAGCCCTATTGAGCAATGAGCAACTGCATCCTGCCTTGTTCCCAATCCTGACAGGACAAGGGTGGATGAAGCTCTCTGAGATTCTCTGCATGATGAATGAGTGAAAAATATCCTTAAGAATTCAGGGAAAATAAATCAGAGAGCTGAGGCAAGTTGCTCCTGAGCCAGGTCACTGAGCTTTTCCTGCTGGATAACCACAGCCTTCTGGGGTAACCTCTGGAGCCACCACATCCTGCTGGCTCCAGGCAGGATCCTCCCTCTCCACTCTGTCCCTTTTCTGTCCTGTTCCCAACACCCTCTGTGGATGTGGGATTCAAGGAGGGATCCAACACAGGTGCCCCAGCCAGGACCTCCCTAAAATCATCCATTAATAGGAGCCCAACCAGTGCCTCGAGTGTGCATCCCAGTAAGACCAGTCCACCAGAAAAGGGGGATGATGGATCCCAACCTGCTTGCTCTGAGACAGGCTTGGGATAAAATGGAGCTGTGGCCAGTCGGAGCTTGGAGAGGACTCAGGAACCCTTTGGAGCAGCCCCGGAGTGGATGTGGGAGTCCAGATGTTTGTCCAACCTCCCCCCAAAATCTCCAACTGAGGAACAGCACCTCTTTCTCCATGTCCAATCAACCAAACGTTCCATTTTTTTCCTAGTTTCTCTTTTTTCAAGACAGCCCTTTACAGGCACCAGGTTATCCTGCCCTTCTCCAGACTAAACAAATCCTCCTTCAACCTCATGTTTTTCTGCCCATTGTATCGGTCCAGCTGCCGCATCCCAGAGTCGTTGCATGCCAGTGTCCCTTTCCAGAGAGGAATGATCCTGCAGTGCTGCCCTTGCAAGGTGCCTTTCCCTTTCCTGCTGGATCCTGCACCGCTTTTAGGACCATTTACTGCCTCTCCAGCTATTTTGTAGCAGTGCTCTGAAGTTTTCCTCCCCAAAGCACAAACTCCCCTTGAGCATCACAACTGGAGCAAGACCGATCCCCCAAAACTCTGGGGAAGAGAGCACCAGCTCTGTAAGTTTGGGAAAACATCTGTGGAAGGTGGCTGAGCTCTTTCTGCACAACCAAAACTCGGGGGTAGGAGGGATGAGTTCATGCCAGTGCTTGCAGGAGACTCCTCTGTTACATCCAGCTCCAGAAGCTGGAGCGAGGAGTCATAAGTAAGTATTGGATCCCGTGGGCACTAATTAATCCCAAAACCTCGTGCTTCTGCTGCTTCCCAGTGGCAGTGACCTCATGCGATGAACTGGCAGCTCCCTGCCCCATTCCTGTCAATAGCTCATCCCTGAGGAGGAAGGAATGACCTGATTGAGGGTCAGATCTTTGAAAAGGACATTAACAACCCATTTCAGCCTAAAATCCCCCCAAAAATATGCTGGGGTTTGGGGAGCCCGTAGCGCCGGTGACAAATGACAGCCAGGCAGGAGCCGCCTGAAAGCAAAGCCAGGGAAATCAGAGGAGAAGGATTCTTCTGGCTTTGCATCATCGTAGCCCAACCACATCTATTTTTGCTGTAGGCATGGCATCGAGCTCCCGTCACCGCTATTCCTACTCCATCCATCTCCCTGTGCCAGGGAAGAGTGCAGAGGGATGGTTTAATTGCCCTTTAATTGCCTTGAAGTCCGGACAATTCAGATTGCTGCCCTTCACCCCCCACCTCCCAGCAAGGGACAACTGTCCCTAGGACACAAGGCAACTTGTCAACCCCCCAGCCAGTATTATTTTGCCCCTTGCTCCAGTCTCTGATCACACCTCGGATGCACTTCCATAGGGATTTGGCTTTTATTTTAAAAAGGAGGGAGGAAAATGTCATTTAACCTGCAGGCAGGTGATGACAGCAGCTCCTGGTCACCTAAGGACACTCTCCAGCACAGCCACCCTCCCCAGAGGCCGCAGGAGCTATGTCCCAGCAGGCTGAGAACATGCCCAGCTTAGTGCTCCAGTGTCTGGCACCGGCTTGGCATCTCCTGGAGCCTTTTGGACAACAGGCTCACACACAGCGATGCCTGGTTGGATCTGGTTTGGGAAGGGTTTGCACACTCTTGTTTTCCTATAAAGAAAGAGCATATATTTACTTTTTTAAAATTTAATATTTAATTATATAATCTTTATTAAATTTTATTTTATATATATATATTAGAATTTATTTCCTTTTTTTTTCACCTTGGTTCCTAAGCAAAACAGTTTCCCTGTCCCTGAAGGAACTCCTGAAGGGTCAGGAGTGATGGGGTGAAGAGGGTTGGGGGTGCTGGGTTGTCACCAAGTTCCAGGGCAGAGGAGAGTTTGGGGGTGAGGGAGTCGAGGATGCTGGGATGTGGTGGGTGACAGGGCAGAGGGGGATTTGGGGGCGATGGGCTGCAGTGGGTTCAGGGCAGAGGGGTCGGGGTGATGGGGTGTAGTGGGATCCAAGGGAGAGGGCTTTAGTGTGCTAGGCTGTGGTGGTTTCCAGGGCAGAGGGTTTGGGGGTGTTGTGGGGTTTGGTGAGTTCCAGGGCAGAGGGTTTGGGCGTGTGAGGTCGGGATGATAGGGGGTGGTGGGATGCAGGGCAGAGGGTTTGGGGTGATGACAGTGTGTGGTGGGTTCTGGGGCAGATGGGTTGAGGGCGCTGGGGTGGGGTGGGTCCCAAAGCAGTAGCAGGGGTTGCAGGTGCTGGGTTTGGAGGTGATGGGATCGCAGGTGATGGAATCCGGGCTGCTGGGGTGTGTGTAGTGAGTTCCAGGACAGAGGGGTTGGGGGTACTGGTGTGTGGTGGGTTATGAGGCAGAGCGGTCAGAGGGTGCTGGAGTGTGGTGGGTTCCAGGGCAGCGGAGGGTTTGGGGGTGTGGGGGCGTGGTGGGTTCTGGGGCCGGGGAGGGTTTGGGGGTGCTGCGGTGCCGTTGGTTCCGGGACAGAAGGGCTATGGGGGCCCAGAGCCGAGCTCCCCCCCGGGCGCCCCCCGGCCCCTGTCCCCGGCGGGGTCTAGCGACTCCACCTGCCCCCCCGCGGGGCGGCCCCGGGGCTGGGCTGGGCCGGGCTCCGCCCGCCGCTGTCGGAGGCTCCGCCGGGCTGGGGCCGGTGGCGCAGAGCGGGACCCTCCCGTGCCCGCGTCTGTCCCGCTCCCGGCAGGGGAGGAGCCGGGGGGGCTCCCGGGGAGGAGCCCGGGGGGCTCCCGATGAGGCGCCGGAGGATGAACCAGCTGTACATCGGCAACCTGAGCCCCGCCGCCACCGCCCAGGACCTCCGGCAGCTCTTCGGGGAGCGGCAGCTGCCCCTGCCCGGCCAGGTCCTCCTCAAGTCCGGCTACGCCTTCGTGGACTACCCGGACCAAAACTGGGCCATCCGGGCCATCGAGACCCTCTCGGGTGAGTGCCCCCCCCCGCGCCCCTCGCGTCCCCCGGGTCCTCCCCGCATCCCCCACCCTGCTGCCCCCTCCCCGAGCATCCCTGGTCCCCCTTTCCCTCCCTCCTTTCCCTCCTTCCCTCCCTCCTCCCGCCCCGGCTCTTCCCAGCCTCGCCTCTATTTTTCGCTGATTTTTTTGTTCGATTTTATTAGGAGCCCCTCGGGCGCGGCGGCCCCAGCTCCGCCGCCCCCCGGCTCCCGCAGTCCCCGGGGACCCGTGTACGAGGTGCCCAAGCCCAACTCCCCGGGGCGCTGAGCGGGGGCCTGGGGCGGGGGCCGAGGGGCACGAGGAGAGCCTGGGGGCGGGGGCCCGAGATGTGGGGTGGGATGGGGAGGGCTGGGATTTGGCGGGGGGGATGCCGCCCTGCCCATCCCGGGGGGATGCTGAGCGCCCCGCTGTCTCTGCAGGGAAAGTGGAGCTGCACGGCAAAGTGATGGAAGTGGATTATTCGGTGCCCAAAAAGCTCAGGTAAGCCCGCGTCGTCACCCCCCAGACTCCTCCATCCCGTCCTCCGTCCCACCGGGACGGGGGGCGCGCCGGGAGCTCCGGGAACAGGGATGCGGGGGATGGGGGTGGGGGAGCCCCGTCGGTTTTACTTTCGCTCCGGAGCGCAGCGCGGGGAGGGGGAGAAGGAACTCCTGGCCCACGGCCGCGTTCCCACGGCTGGGAATCCCCGTGGATGTCCCCTACCCTACGCTCCCCACCGCTCCCGTGGAAAACAATCTCTTATTTAGCAGCAAAACACCAAAAAAGCGCCCCTTTTCCCCGCACTTTTCGCGGCGCGGATAGAGGTTTTCCCAACAGCGGAGCCACCCGCGCCCTCAGGGATATTATTTTTAGTAGGTAATTAATCAAATTTCCCTTTGCAAACACCTCATCCCCCCGTTATCCAGCCGGAGAACCCCCGAGCCCAAAGCATTCCCGTATTTAATCCATCGTGTCGGAGCGCGCCCTCTTATTTCCATCAGGTGCCCGAGGCCGGGGCGATGGGCACATGTGTGTTTCCTAGGGAAAATAAACCCCGGGACTGTGCTGCGTAGCCTCATCCCGAGGTTTATTCCGCCTCCCCTCCCTCCCCCTCGTCATGTGTAGGGATAAAAGGAAGGAAAAAACACCCCAGGGGCTGGTCCGGGCGGATAATTTGCCGCCGCTCGGCGCGGGTTTGGCCTGGGATGGGAGATGGGGTCTGAATCTGGCCCGGGATTCCTGGTGGGGTATTAATTTGGTAATGACGGGGGAGTTGGAAATGCTGTTGTGTAATTGAGGCTTGGGGGGGACGGCTCGTGCCCGGCATCACATGTGCCGGAGTGGGATTTCATCTTCGGCAGGGATCACACGCTCTCCACCTTCCAAACACCACCCCAACGAGCCCCCAGGAAATTCCCAGGTGTGATATTCCTGAGCTAAAACCTCTGCTGCAGCCTCAGGTTGGGCTGCTGGTGACTTTGGAAGAGGGATGAAGCCAGGAACTGGGAGTTTGGGGCCATAGTACGAAGCCGGGTCTTGACCTTTCACATGTACGCAGGGGATGTAAACAAGGAATTCATCTTTAAATCCTCCACTGGGGCTCGGGGGGCTCCTGCTTTTCCTTCCAAGTTTTCAAATTAAAAAACAAAATAAAAGGAAACCAAACCAAAACCAGCTTAACCAACCCAGAAATAAATACAGATTTATTTTACATAGCTCTGTTTTCAGATGGCTCCAAGTTTTCTATTCCCAAGTTTCTTCCTACTATCAGGATCTAATTTAAGCCGATACCTTTTTATTTCCAGCCCCCCAAAAAATCTATTCTTTATGTTAATATACCCAGTTCAGGGGTCATACCTTGACTGGGTAGGTTATAGATTTTATTTTTATAAAGTGATTTTTGGCAGGGAACGGGGCCTCACGTGGTTGTGTTTATTCCCCTCTCCCCCCAGTTAAAATCCATTTTTTATAGTCGTGGTCAAGTCTTCGAAAGATTCTGGGATTTTAGGGAGTTAAATGGTAAAAATCCCCCCTTGGTTATTTAAATGAATTTGGGGTTTATTTGGTCAGGGAACCTGAGTCCCCCTTGGCTCCGATCCCTCGGTGTTCCTGCATCACAGGGATGTGAGGAGGTGCTTCCCTCCATGCCCATCTTCACCTGGAATGCTTGATTTTCCCCATGAAATCAAATATAGATCTGTTTTATCAGTATATTGATACGTGTGTAAATACACTTGGATAAGGAACAGGCTGGAAAAACCTGGGACATCCCCCCACAGGAAGCAGGGAAGGGAATTCCTCGAGGGGAGGTGCTGGCAGGGGGGTTGTTCTGTTTCTCCGAAGGCAGGAATTAAATGTGACAGTGGTGGGAAGGATCCTGGATCCCTCCCAATCCATCAGTTCCCTTCCCACGAGTTTATAACCAGCCCTTCTGCTGTCATCCCAGTAATTTGGGCTCCTCTAGGAAGGACTCAACAGTTTCACAGTTGTTTTTTTTCCCCTTGTTTATGTTGGATTGTGGCTTGGAAAATTAAAGAAAAATAATTTTTCATTTTTATAATCAACATTTTAATATTTTTAGATTATTTTAAAAATTGATTTTGGTACTCAGCAGCAGGAGGGAATAGTTTTATTTGCTTGAAGCAATCCCACTCCAAGAGTATTTTGTATGCAGAGCGTGGTGTTGAGGGAAGAACCAGCATCTTCCCTCTTAAAGATTGGTTTTATATCCCTAAAATCTTTAAAATGCCTATTAATGGGAAAGAAGGATAAAAAAGAGAGAATATATAAAAATATAAAGAAAGAGTATTTTTTAAAAATAGGCTTTCTGTGGGGAATGGGAAGTAAAACTCAGCCACCTCAGCACTGAGTTTTAGGCAAGGATTGGATAAAAATGGGGAATTTAATAAGTAGCAAAACTCCATTTATTATCCCCAGACCAGGGACATTTTGGGGGTTCTGGTTGCAAAGGTGCCTTTTAATTTCTGCTTCTGCTGTAATTTTCAGAAATGAGAAAGGAAAGCACAAGAAGGACGTGAGCAGAGGGAGGGAGAGCCTGGAAATCACTGTAATATTAAATATTACAGTGTAAATACGTGTAAAACTTGTGTGAATTTGCCCCAGTTAAAAGTTGCTGAAGGGGGAACAATGCTGGTGCCTTCTGAGGGGCTTTGCTGGGGGTGATTTGGCATTTTCTCCTATTTCCAAAGGAATTACCCTTAAATAATTCTCTCTTGAGCAGCAATTTGATTCTCATTTCAGTGTGTTTTTGCTTTATTGATTATTCACTTATTTTCCCCCAGCCCTTTGCTTTTCAACCCAAAATGCTGGCAGTTTTAAAGATTGGGATACACATCCAAACCTTTTTGGTCTCCCCATCTTTTCCTGTCTTATTATTAATTGCTTTAATGAGATGTTTAATTAGGGGAGAGGAATTCCGTGCACACGAGTTGCTTTGCCAAGAAAAGCCCCTGGAACCTCTTCATGTGTGTCTGGGAATGCACGTGGGGAGGAGAAAATTGAATTTGGGGTGCTCAAAATGAGGCTGCTCTCAGACCTAATCCTATATCCTAAAATGGATATATTTTATAACTTTTAGTGTCTTTTATAGTGATGTAAGTTAATAATTTGTGATTGTGCATTTAAAATATTTAGTGTCTTTTATGTAGGTACAAATAAAAGATACTATTTGTATAAAGACGCTATATAAAAGGCACTTTTTATGTATATTTTATAGGTATAAAACCATACTTCTAATATCTATTTTATATGTATAAAAGTATACTCCTAATATGTATTTTTATATGAGAGATGTGGACTAGATGAGCTTTAACAATCCCTTCCAACCCAAACTATTCTATGATTCTATATTTATATAAAATACTTATATAAATATATGAAATTATATAAACCACACGAAACATTGCTATAGAATATACAGCATTTTTTATAAGACATATTTAAAAAAATACACTTTATATATATATGTATTTAGGGAGAGAGAGAGAGAGACATGATGTTGCCAGGGTGATGCTGCTCAGGTCAGGGATGGGAAACCCCCTCCTGCTGCCTGCTGGATGTGTACCCAGTTTCCCATTGGTCTGGGAAGCTGTTCCCTAAGGAGCTGGCCAAGAGAATCCCCTTGGAGCTGGTCCTTTCCCAGACCCCAGTGTTGGCTCTGGCTCGGGGTGACGCCGTTTTATTTTGTTTGATCTGTTTTCTGGTGGGGTTGAACTGGGAGCTGCTGCCACTAGAGTGGGTTTGGATTTCTTTTCTCTTGGGTCTCTGCTTCCCACTGGGAATACGAGGATGGGAGTGGGAATGCAGGGATGGGAGCAGGGGTGCAGGGAGGGGACAGAGGCCATGCTGTCCGTGCCATAGGATCTCAGGATTTTTCTTGGTACCAGGGAAAGCTGACCTGGATCTGGAGGCACAGGGAGAGACCAAAGCTGAAAGAAAAAGAATACATTAATTTTTTGCCCCTTCTTTCCCCCCATCTTCGTTTTCTGCTCATTTCCTCCACCCTTCTTTTCCTCCCTCTTTTCTCTCTTTTTTTGCCTCCTTTTCCCCCTCTTCTTTTCCCTCCTTCCTTTTCCCCTTCCTTTCCCCCACTTTTTTCCTCTCCTTATTTCTTCTTTATTTCTCTCCCCTTTCTTTCCCCACCCTTTATTTTCCCCCCTTTTCTTTTCCCCCCTTTTCTTTTCCCCCCTTTTCCCTCCTTTTCTTTTCCTCCCCTTTCTTTTCCTCCCCTTTCTTTTCCTCCCCTTTCTTCTTTTCCTCCCCTTTCTTTTCCTCCCCTTTCTTTTCCTCCTCTTTCTTTTCCTCCCCTTTCTTTTCCTCCCCTTTCTTTCCCTCCCCTTTCTTTCCCCCCCTTTCTTTCCTCCCCTTCCCCCCTCTTTCCTCCTGCTTTCATCCATGTTTTTTTACACCTTCCCCCCCCTTCTTTTCTGCCTTTTCTCTTCCCTCCCTTCTTTCCCCCCTTTCTTCTCCCTTTCTTTTTCCCCCACCTTCTTTCCCCCCATCTTTCATTTCTCCCTTGTTTCTCTTCCCCCCCCCCCTTCCTTCTTTTCCCCCCTTCTTTCTTTCCCCCTTTCTCTCTTTCCCCCTTCTTTCAGTTTCCCCTCCTTTTTTCTGGTTTCCCCTCCTTTGTTTCCCCCTTCCTTTTTCTTTACCTTCTCATTTCCCTCCCTCCTCTTCCCCCTCCCTCTTTTGTTTTCTAACCCCCTTAATTTGACCGGGTTGTGACAGATGGGCCCTTATTCCGTCCATCCCTATTGTTGATACATCCCGGCTCCTGGGGCTGGATCCATCCTGTGCTCCCGGCCATCGTCAGGTTGCTGGGCTTTAACAACAACGGATTTTAATTCCTTAAGAGCGTCAGGGCAAAGCCTGGGCTGGGAGGGAACTGGAGCAGCCTCGATGCTCTTGGCAACTGGTTGAAACTGGGGCAGCCCTTTAATGCTCATCCAGCCTGGCACTGATGGAGCAACTTGGGAAGATCCACTGCTGGATGGGGTTGGGAGACAGCAAACTTGTCCAGGATGACCCTGTTAGGCCCAAAAATTATATATATATAGCATGAACAGACACAAACCTAACAGCCACTTCCTTTCCTCCTCAGTCAGTGTGGCTGGGTCTGGAAAATTCAGTTGGGATGGAGTTTGGTTAATGCCTAATGATGGGAATCTTTTTTGTAGATGTTTTCTTCCCTGGGACAAATATTTCATAAAGCAGGCAGGGCACCTGTTTGATTTCCAGCATGTTTTCCCTCTATTTTTTCCCCCCAGTTCTTTTGAAAACTGATTTTTCAGGAAAGCAGGAAGTTCCTGACTGTTGTTTTGTCTGCCCCCAGTACCGATCTGAGGTGGAAGGTGATAAAACCCCTTTGTGGCTTTAATACAGTTAAGATACTAAAGCTTGAGTGGAAAAAAAACCTCAATCCACCTGATTCTGGGGAACAAACCATATGTTTTAAAGCATTTTCTGATTTATTGCTTGATTTCAGCAAGTGCAGACCCCGAGCACATGGCACGGGGTGATGCTGGCAGGTTTTCCTGGGTTTCCCATCCCCTTTCCCTTCAGGATTGTGATGTCAGTCCCATGATTTTGCTCTGATGGATGCATGAAATGACACCCAGCTGGATTAATTCCTGAACCCACCCTACAGTCTCGCTCCCTCCTTGATCCCACATGTGCTGCCAGTGCCCTGGTGATCGGTGAGCTGAGCCAGATGAACCCCAAAGGGAGAGAGACTCTTCCCTGGTCCAGCCTGTGGCATCCTCATGGTTCCCAAGCTGTAAGAGGGGGCTGGTTGTGGTGATGCTTTGGCTTGCAGCTGAGTGTGGCACCTTGGGATAAAACCAGTGAAGGTGCTACCCGTTGTTTGGCGCCTGGAAGGTGGTGGGAGTAACTGGACAGCGTGTCCAGCTCTCTCCAGTGGTTTGAGGCTCACTGGGATTTGCTCAGGCACAGCGACTTCACAGGATGTCACCAGGCATTTTGGGAGTGGGATGCATCCCTTGGAGCAGGCAGGAGCAGTCCTCCTGGAGCTGAACATCTGGCCTGGACCTGGGCATCCTAAAATAACCCCTCTGGGAAATGCTGGTGGGGTTTAAAAATGAAACTTGTTCAGTTTTCTGGAATGGTCCCCATAATGTTTGTAGTGTTTGGGAGCAGTGTCAGCCATGGGCAGGGGAGCAGTGTCAGCCATGGGCAGGTGACAAGGACAGGAAGAAGGGTTCAGGCTCTTGGTGAACCCATCATTGCCATGGTCTCCCTTCCTGGGACCCTCCTTCCTCCTCCTTCCTGGTGTGGGGTGGAGATGGTTGGGCATGGGATGAGGTGAATCCTGCTCCTTCCCTCTCAGGGATCTCACATCTGCATTCCCAGCTGTGAAATCCCTGGTGGCAGCTGGGGACAGGAGCCTGTCAAACCCTTTTTCCTGAGCGCACCTCCTTGGCTGGCTGCCAGTGCCGGCTTTGCTGTCCCGATGTTGGAGCATCCCCAGGAGATACGAGCCTTCTCCTCCCTCTTTGCTTGGCCCTGGTCCTTGTGGGACCAGCTGTGGGTTTTGTCCTGCTCTCACAGCCCACATCTCAAGAAAACTTCCTTTTTCTACCTTTCCCTCATTGAATCTGGCCCCAAACTATCCAAAAAAGCAGAATGGTTTGCAGGGGCTTGAGATGCGCCTGTACTGTGAGCTGTGAGAACAGGGACCACAGCTGGAAGGCCTCATTTTCCAGCTATTGAAGATTGCTAGTGGAATCAGGGTGTTGATGTCTTCTTCCATCTCCTACTGCCTCCTGGTCCTGCAGGATTCGGCCCAAAGCCCCTGGGTGTTGGTGGCCATCAGCTGGAGCTGCTTCCCTGTTCCCCCTGTAGTGTTGAAGCTGGTGGTGCCTGTTCTTTCAAGCATCTTCCTTGAGCTCATCCCAAGGAAGGGGAAGACTTCATAAAATCAGCTTCCAGCTGCTGATCAGATCCCAAAACCTGGCTGTTTGTGTGTGGCTGGGTCAGGAAGCTCATCCCGGGTATTGGGAAAGCTGAGAACATAGGACAGTGCTTTGGTCAGAGCTGACTGACTGCAAGCAGGATTGGGAATGCTGATCTGGGTGGCCCATGGATGTCATGGCTTGACTGGATCCTCCATGGATTGGACTGTCTCAAAACTCCCCACTACCCAAGCATAGCCAGGCTGGGGAGGTGTTTGGTGGCTGTTATCCCATGGAAAGCCTTGGCAGTGGTTCCTGTGCATCCCTTCCCCAAACCTGCTCTGTGGCAAGCTTGGGAGTGTAACCATGGCCAGGTTGGGAGCACAATTATTAGGCTGGGAATGCAATCACAGCCAGGTTGGGAATGCAGCCACAGCCAGGTTTGGAGTGCAACCACAGCCATATTGGGAGCACAGTCATGTCTCAGGTTGGAAGGCTGGATGTGTTGGCCATCTCCAGGGGTATTTATTTAGGTTTCCCCAAGGAAACAGCCCCACGTTGCTGGGAAGTGGTAGACATCAGCAGGATGCACCTTTGGAGAGCCCCCTCAAGGGATAGCAGGGTTGGCTGTAGTGGAGCTGGGGGTCCTGTCCCCACCCAGCCCCCAGCCCAGGGCAGTGTGGTCAGGAGTGTCCATGCATCCCAGCCTCCCTGTGTGGCCATGACTCTGCAGAGGCTCTTTTCAGGAGGTTTCCTTGGAAACCTGACAGCCAACATGAGGAGGGAGCGTTCTGGAGACAACTCCAGCCCTGGCAGGGTGACTGGTGCAAAGCTAGGATAAGCTCTTTCCTTGGGGATGAGCCGCCCTGGGGAAGCAGGATAGTTCAGAAAGCTCTGCCCAGCTGCCATGTGATTCCCAGAGAGGCTTTTCCCTCTGCTGTGGGGCACCTGCAGACCCTAACCCAGGGCTTTGTCTTTGCAGGAGCAGGAAGATCCAGATCCGAAATATCCCCCCCCACCTACAGTGGGAGGTAAGAAGTGGCTGATCCTAAAAACATCCCGTTCATCTCCCCTTCTATCGGCACGAGCTGTGCCATTGGAGCACATGGTCTGCACATGGGCCACCCTTTACCTTCCCAGTAATCCCAAGAGGGAGCATAAACTGGGCCCCAGTTCCTGCCTGCTTGTGGGTCACGGAGTTGTGGGGCAGCTTGGAGTGGCGAGACATCTTTGGAATGGTGGGATGCAGGTGGATGAAGGCATTTAAGCAGTTGGGTGATGTTGGAGGGTGTTTGTGGGGGAGTGGGCTCTTTCCCTGCCTGTCTGGGACCTTACCTGCCCAGTTTGCTGCTCTCCCCAGGTGCTGGATGGCCTGTTAGCTCAGTGCGGGACAGTGGAGAATGTAGAGCAAGGTAAGACGGTCCAGCATGATCCTCACCTCTGCAAAATTCCCAGCGCTGCTCCCTGGCTCTGCCTACACCACAGGAAAAGGAAACCCACTGGGGTGAAACCTAATTATCCCAGTAGTGCTGGCCTGAACTGGTTCTCCCTTTGGGCACAAGGCCTGCTGGCAGAGGTGGGGCCGCCCATCCCGATGGACCACCCCTCCTCCATCCTCAGGGATTCTCCTGGTCCCTGGCCTGTAAAAATGAGCTGAGTGTCATTTGGGGTCCACTGATGAACTAGAGATGTCCAGCCAGGTGTCCTACTTGGATCCATCTTTGGCACCTTCTGGTCTTCAGAAGGGTTCCAGCCCAGTCCTTGTGCTGGGGGGAGATAAGCATCCGCAGCCCACTATCCCCAGCTGCATCCCCCCTCTGCAGTGTGCTGGGGGGCCAGGAGCAGCGGTGACCTCTCTCCCCTCCCTGCTCTAACTGTCCTTCTCTTGCTCCCCCAGTGAACACAGACACAGAAACAGCTGTTGTCAACGTGACCTACACGACGAAGGAAGAGGCAAAAGTGTGAGTGCTTTTTTTGGCTTTGTCCATAGTTTCACACCACCTAGGCTTTTCCTGAGGAATCCCAGGTATCTTGTCTTCTAAGTTGTCCCACTGCTGGGCTGTGTCCTGCCTTCTCCCCTGGCATGGGAGATAGGTTTTCCTGTGACCATCAGCCCTGTGGTTGTCCCTTCAAGGGGCCTTCTCCCCTTGTCTCCTAGATGTACAATTCCCTTTGGACACTGTCCTTCCTGCAGGGTTCTCTGCCATGTCTCAGTGGCCTTGTCTTCAGACAACAAAGTGGAAAGATGAGAGTCAGGTCAGATAAGCAGTTCGTCTTCCCAGGTTGGAAATCCAGACCAAAACTGGGAATGCAACAGATTAATCACCCATGTGACCACCCAGTTAGAGCTGCTGAAGGTGGTGAAGGAGATGGCAGAGATGGTGAAGAAATGTGGTGGTGATAGGAGAGTGAGAAAAGCCAAGTTGGAGACCAAAATACACAGAGACCGTCACCTGCTGTCAAGAGGAACCAGCTGGTTGGCTTCTGAAAGTTCTTTTGCTGTGGGCAAGAGAGGGATGGATGGATGGATGGATGGATGGATGGGTGGGTGGAGGAGGTGAGAGGGAGCCAGGAGGCCCATGGCTGGTGTCTGCAGGAGCAGGGGAGCAGCTGAGGGTGAATCAGCTGCCTGTTGCACCGAGGAGTTGCAGAGAAATGTCCCCCACCAGGAACAGCTTCAGGAGGCTGTCAGGACCCGAGCAGGCCGTGTGGAGACATGATGAAAGGTTTATCATGGCCAGCAGAGAGAAAAAAAACACAAATCAGGAGTTATTTCTGAAGTGGAAGGACTATTTCAAGCAAAACGATTTGGTCCAGGCTTGTAGAGACCAGCTCTGTGTAAGCTACGAGTAAATAGTGAAATATTCCTTAATTAGTGGCCAGGGTATTTTTGGTAGGACCAAGAGCTAGGCAGATCCCAGGCAATGAAGAGCCTTTGTGAGGCCATTTGTTGATGGATATTCCATCAGTTTCCCATCTGTACTGACCCATCACAGTGTTGGATAAGTGAGGACAGAGATGGGAAGAGTGATGTTCTGGTCCAGGAGAGCAGAAGAGAGTCATCCTTGTGCCTCCAGCCTCAGCTGGAGGTTCCATGGGCCACAGATGAGTGTGTCTTAGAATCATAGAATCTCCTGTGTTGGGAGGGACCCACAAGGATCATCTAGTCAAACTCCTAACCCCACACTGGACAGCCTCAAAAATCCCACCATGGTCTTGGGATGTGTGGCAAGAAAGGAAGACAGAAGAGTTTCCCCAAGACAACAGTGCTCGGTACTTCAAGATAAGAGGCTTTTTTTGGATGGTGAAGCTGCAGAAGTCCTCAGTGGATGTGGATTTCAGGCCTGGCAAGGAGCTGCTTGTTGTGGTCCATCCATAGCCAAAGTGGGATGTGGTAGGAGGAGGGAAGGAGTGTGGTGGGGTCCACTTTGTGGGGTCATGACAGACACTGGGCATGGCTGAGCACCACTGAGGAGGGGCTGAGGGATGGAGAGTCCAGGTGCTGCCCCCCAGCCTTGTCCTGCTGAGAAGGGAGTTGGGATTTCCAAAAAAGGGGCACCATGTGCTACATCCCTCTCCCTGGAGCTGCACTGGTTGCTCAGAGCTGCTCTATCACCTTATCCATGTCCAGAAAGCCTGTGGGACTATTTCTGGGAAGTACTTTGCCCAGGAGTAGTTTCCCAGGTGAAGGGACAGGTCCCCAGGCTGCCATCCCACCTCTGCTGGGAGGACAAGCTCTGTGCCAGCTCCAGCATCACCCACATGGGAGGGGATGATGTCCCACCACGCTGTGAGACTTGTTCCTCATGGGAAAAGTGAGGGACTCTGGCTTCCCGTGGCCACCATCTCCAGACTGAGGAGGCGGAAGATGCAGACTGGGGAGGGACCATGGACTACAAGGCTCTGGGGGTGCTGGTGGGGGGCCCCTCCCTGGGGAGCCCCTCACTGACCTCCGTGTCTCCCTGCCTTGCAGAGCCATAGAGAAGCTGAGCGACCACCAGTTTGAGAACTATTCCTTCAAGATTTCCTACATCCCGGATGAAGAGGTGAGCTCCCCTCCGCCCCCACAGCGATCCCGCCGCGGGGGCCACTCTTCCAGGGAGCGGGGCTCCTCCCCGGGGGGCTCCTCACAGCCCAAACAGCTCGATTTCCCACTGCGGATGCTGGTACCCACGCAGTTTGTTGGTGCGATCATAGGAAAGGAGGGCTTGACCATAAAGAACCTTACTAAGCAAACCCAGTCCAAGTAAGTACTTCCAATGGTTTTGTTTCCTTCTGTAGGGTGCTGCAGGTCCCAGCTTGGGGTCCACCCTGCACTCAGGGCTCTGGAGTGCCGACCAGTGCTGATTCCTTGGGGTGCAACCTTCAGGGGATGTTGACAGAGCTCAAATCCTGAACCATTCCTGCTGGCCAGGGTGATCTTGGTGCAGCAGGAGGGGGATGCATGTTGGAAAAGGCCAGGAATGAGTTCCTAAAGCCTCATGAGAGCAGCTGGGGATGAGGCTTTAGGGAGAAATGGCAAGTTTGGGGTTAAAATCCCAAAGGGGAATCCTCGGTGCAGTAGTCTTTGTCCTCGGGTTTTGCTTATCAGTGCGATCATAATCATATGGGATGAGCATCCCATATGGGCTAGAGCTGTTGTAGGGGGAAAGGGGACACTGTGGGAGCACTGCCATGAGAAGGACAGGCTTTTGTAACTGTCGGAAGCCTTTTTTAGCAATTAACCTTTTTTTAACATTTTTATTTTCAAAGAAAAAAAAGGGAAAGAACAAAAAGGGGGATTTGTCTTGCCGAAGTTTTCTATGTTTCTCTTGTTGCTGTCCTCCTTGATTTCATCGCTGATTCTCCACATGGTTTTCCTGCATGGTTTGTTCCTGCCCAGGTGTGTTTGTGGCTAACCCAAAGTTGCCTTTTCCCATGCTCATCATCCCCAACCCCTTGATCCCATGGGATGTAGGACTCCTGTCCCACATCATCCTAGTTCTCAGAGGAGCTTTTAGAGGCAGATTATTTGGTAGTAGCACGGCTGGCGGTAGGAAGACGATCCAGACCCCGGCACTGGGTTGGCAGGAAGAGATTTACGTGGAAAGGGGGACAGATGGATAGGGAGAGAGGAGCTCTTGGAGCCCAGCTGGCCCTCGGGTGGGGCCACCTGGTAGCTGTGAGCTGGTCCCTGTTGACCACAAGCCCTTCTCCAGGTGAGTCCTGGTGGGATGAGCAACAAGGGTGGCTGTGTCCTCACCACCCAAGACTGGAAGTTGCCCTTTCCAAGCCCTAAGCCCAGTGAAGAAGGTGGGAAGGTGCTGGTTTCTCCTGACCACAAGGCCCGTCGCTGCTGGCTGGGGCAGTTTCTGCCACCAGGTTGTCCCTCCCTGTGGATTAGCTCCCTGAAGACCTGGTGCCATGGAGGAAGACTGTGCTCCATGCTCTCCCCCTCTCCTGACCTACTGACGGAGACCATGTGCCAGCACTTCCACTCCAGCCTTGGGCAAAGAAGACCTCAAGCACCTGTCCTGGGCAGTCTCAGGAGACCTTTTTCTTCAGTTTAGGGTGCTATCCCACAGCTCTGTCCCTGCTCAGGCCACCCTGAGTGACGTCCAGCCCCTGCTCCTACCCAAAGCGACCTTGGGTTCTGGATTCTTCTGGTCACATCGGACTTCACCCCCTGGTTGCACACACAGTGATCCCAGAGATGCTCCTGAGCACCAGGGGACTTAACTGTCCCCAGGCTGAGCCATCTTCTGCCAGAAGATGAAGAAGCCCAGACCAAGAGCCTACCCCACCAGACAACCTTGCACAGCCCCTGGACCACTGGGAGGACCACTGAGGAGTGGACTACTGCTACCAGGGTAATCCTGTGTGCACACCATATTGTCCACCTGGAGAGGGCTGTCCCTCACGGCCACCACTCCCTGAAGCATTCCCAGCCCCCTCTGATGTGTCTTGGAGGCTTTTCCTGCTGCACCATGGGAAAATCTGCCCTGTCCCTGTCCCATCATCCCCGGTCACCCCTTCCTGCAGCCCCTGGTGATAGGGTGAGGGTGCTGAGGGTCCCCTTCCCCATCCTCCCAATGGAGTGGAGCTGTGCAGCATTGGCACTGGGATGTGCTGGGAAGTCCAGAGGTCCCCCTTCTCCAGCTCTTTGGTGTGGGCCATACCTTGAACTCGGCGTCCCCTTCCTGGCGTTCCGTCTTCCCTCTGCAAAGGGAGCTCGTTCCTCATATCTGGGTGTAGGATGGCTTGGTCAGCCAGAAACTTGGCTCATAACCCTCTCTGGGATTTGTCCAAGATCCTCATCACCTCAGTGTCTCCATTCAGCCCTTCCCTGGTGCTTGGTCCTTTTGCAGGGCGGAGGCTCAGCTGTGTCCCCCCTGCTACCAGCCTCAGCTGCTCGTGTGTTCAAGGAGCTGCTTGGCTCCCGTCTGTGGGGTTTATTTGGATTCCTCATGAGTTCCCCCTAACTGGGAGCATCAGCCTGGCCTGTCATCGCCTCGTGTGGCTCGTTGTGATGTTCTTGCCCTGTCCCCGGTGAAGGGGAGGCAGGGTGTCCCTGTGCATGCTAGAAACATATCCTGCAAATCAACCTGACGGAGCTCCATGGCCAGGAGTGCCTCAGAGGGTGTCACACAGCACACAGCAGGGTCATCATGGGCTGTAGATGTGACCAAGGGCAGGGAGAGCTCAGTGGTACTGGTGGCCCCATCACCCTTTGCATGGTTCTCTGAGGCCCAGCTTCCTGCCTGAGCATCTCTGACTGAAGCCGTGGGAGATCTGGAGAGATAGAGCCTACAAAGGGGATCACACTCTGTTTTTCGCTCCCTACTTGGTGCTTGGATGGAACCACTCTGAGGTCGCTTTGGAGCTGGTGGAGTTGGCTCTGCCCTCGTCTCAGCTCCCCCAGCCTTACCTGGCGCACCATCCGCTGCCCATGTTCCGACACACTGGCTCGGGAACTCCTGGAAGAGTTGACCTGTGCAGACCCACTGGGACCCCGCACCATTCCCCCACGGATGGGGATGACTCTGCCCCCAACCCTTGACCTGGCACATGCAGCAGCACCAGGAGTGACCCCAGTCAGGACAGAGACCTTGGAGACATGGCCGGAGGGCTCTGCCGTGTCGGAGCTGAGCACCGGTGGGATTCAGCGAGGGCTGAGTAGCCACTGCTGCCCCTGCTTAGAAGATGTGGCCCTGACTGCGGCAGTGACAGGGATGGCACGGTGTGGCCTGTGGCAGGATGGCTGCATGGTGTCTGTCACCCTCCGGTGGGAAGACCGTGTGACCTCGCATGGAGAAGACGGAGAGGTCGCTTCCCCCTGCTCTCCAAGATGCATGATTGAGGTGCGGGAGTCTCCTACCCTGCTTTCCTCTCTCCCTCTCTCTCAGGGCCTTTGCCAGGTACGGTTGAGCGTGAGGAGTGAGCTGGAGGTGCATTCCTCCTCCCGGCCATGAGCTGAGGGAGGACCAGAGAAGTAGAGCACAGTCCCGCCGGGCACACGGGAGGGGCTGCTGCTCTCCCGTGGGAGGGCGTGAGTACCAGCGCTGTTGTTGACGTGTTGTCTCCGTGTCATGACAGATGCTGCCCACAGGTAAGTTCTCTCTGTCCCGAAGGACGTGGTCGCTGGACAGCCTCGGGTATTGTGCAGAGAGAGGTGGAGGTCCGAAGGGACCTCTGGAGACCCCTGACCCGGTCTCCGGCTCTGATGGGACTGGTATCAGAGAGGATAGGCAGGTGGCTCAGGGTTTTGAACTGTTGAGGGTTTGTTCTGCCCCCTCGATGCATTGATTGATGCTGTGATGCCCCTCAGCTCTTGGGGACCTCGGGTCCTAAAGGCAAACATGGCCCACATCTGATCCAAACCACCCAAAACCAAACACGACCTGGGCTTGCGTGAGCCAGGTGGTGGCAGATGCACCTGAGGCCCAGCTTCACCCCGAAGCTTGAGCAAGCATTGAAATGAGTTTTTCTCAGCTCCTGAGCTCTCAGAAACCTCTGTGTGCTGCCAGGCCCATCTCAGGGGACTCCTCTCTGCCTGTTGTTTCTCCGTAGGGTCGACATCCACCGTAAGGAGAACGCCGGCGCTGCCGAAAAGCCCATCACCATCCACGCCACGCCGGAGGGCTGCTCCGAAGCCTGTCGCATGATCCTGGATATCATGCAGAAGGAGGCTGATGAAACTAAATCGTGAGTGCTCCTGGCTCAGCCAGACAGACGGGTGGTGGTTTGAAATGGTGGTGGTTCTTCTGCTCCTTCTACCACGCCCGTAGTGCCTGTGCCTGAAAATGGGTTTCCTGGCCAGACAGACCTTTGGATTTTATTTTTGAATCCATTTTAGAGCAGAAGAGATTCCCTTGAAAATCCTGGCACACAACAGTCTGGTGGGGAGGTTGATTGGCAAGGAGGGCCGCAACCTCAAGAAGATTGAGCAGGATACGGGCACGAAGATCACCATCTCCCCGTAAGTTCCTGTGACAAGGGGAATGGCTTCCCACTGCCAGGGCGCAGGGTTAAATGGAATATTGGGAAGGAATTCTTCCTTGGGAGGAATTGTGAGGCCCTGGCACAGGTTGCCCAGAGAAGCTGTGGCTGCCCCATCCCTGCAAGTGTCCAAGGCCAAGTTGGACGAGACTTGGAGCAACTTGGGCTTTAAGGTCCCTTCTAACCCAAACCATTCTGGGATTCCATGGTTCAATGAAGTCCTGGTGAACACCAAACCACTCCCTTCCATCCAGCATGGGATGGGTTGTGCTGGAGACAGAAGACAGAGTAGTTGTGTCCTTCCATGTGCATTCCCATCCCAGCTGGACGTTCCTCACACCAGGTGGATGGTGGCACTGGACCAGGAGAGAACGTGTGTGTGGAATCTGTCTCGGAGGGGAGAACCCTCAGCTTTGATTTGAGTTTTCCTGGGGCTTTTCCTGCCCAGGAGGAAGAATGTAACCATGGGTTTCCTTGCGGTGCAGGTTGCAGGATTTGACCATTTACAACCCCGAGCGGACCATCACGGTGAAGGGCAGCATGGAGGCCTGTTCCAATGCCGAGGTGGAGATCATGAAGAAGCTGAGAGAGGCCTATGAAAATGACGTGGCTGTCAATGTAAGCTCCAGCCTTTCCCCAGGGAGGCTCCCACTCCACTGAGGTGGCCAGAAGAAAACTGGGGGGAGGGTGTCAGTATGTTATGATAAGAGTTGGTTGGCACTCACCCATCACACCCACACTGGGGCGAGAAACCCAAAACCCCCACTCTGCCTTTCACACCTCTCTCCATGTTTTTGTTTTCCCAGCAACAAGCCAACCTGATCCCAGGGCTGAACCTCAATGCCTTGGGCATCTTCTCCACAGGGCTGTCCATGCTCTCATCCACCCCGGGGACCCGAGGGGCTGCAGCTGCCACCCCCTACCACCCCTTTGCAGTAAGTGTTGGAGGTTTTGGGGTGTGGGAGGTGTGTTCCTAGGGGCAGAGTGGTGTCTAGAGTATCCTGCTGCAGCTGTTGGGTTTGGGTGGTCACTGTAACTGCAGGAGCCTTGAATGGGAGCTCTGACTGTTAGGGAGGATGCTGTCACAGCAGCAGAGTGGAGAGGACAGGGAATGAAGGTGGCTTGTCCTTTCTTTGGTTCAGCTCCATTGGAAGATCCCTGTGTTGTGCTGAGCTCACTTTCACGTGTGTTTAAGGTCTGGCTGTGCCCCAGGGGTCAGTGTCTGAAGAGAGCATGGAAAAACCTTTCAGGTGGTCTTCAGTCCTGACCCCAAGCCCACCACTGGGTTGGTGTGGGCTGGGTTGTGCCCTGTGGGTCTGGTCTTGGTAGCCACCTGAGTCCCTTGGTGTGGCCACAGGATGTGCAGGGGACGAGCAGCCCACCCTGTTTATCCACCAACAAGGCATCATCTTGGATCCCTGCCCTGGCACCCAGGGGTTGTGCTTGCAGGGAGCCAATCTCCACCCCATCTCATAGGGAAGGGTTTTTCTTGTTCTTGGGGTGCTGAGAGCTGGGGAAGGATCTTCAAAACCCCTGAGGTCACATGTGGGTAGAAGTGGTCCAGTGCCCAGAGACCCCAATGGCCAAAGTGCTGACGGAGGAGGTCCATCCAGGAGCACCTGCAGGGCACCCTTGGGTCCCCTAGGTGCTGTGGGCTGTCTCTGTTAGTGTCTGAATAATTTATTCCGAGTTGTGCATTAATTGACTTGTGCTGTTTTCTCTCCCTGGTGATGGCAGCAGCAGAGCGGGTGGAGGAGGACGGTGAGTGCCAGGGAGGGTGAGGGGAGGGGTGTGTGTGTGGTGTCTCTGGAGGGCACCAAGAGGATCGGTTGTCTGTCTGTGCTGGCCTGCGGAGGGGAGGATGCTCTCCCTGTGTGTTGGGAGACATCATCTTGTGGGAAATACTTATGGGTGTGATGGGGAGGGTCTGGGCAGGTTCCTAAGTGCAGAGTTTAGTGTGGGGTCCTTCACCCCAAAGCTTTGCATGTCCTGTTCTAAGTCTCCCTGGTGAGGCCAAGAGGAGCAATTTCCTCTTGGAAATTGCCCGTTTATTTATAGTAAGATAAAAAGCTGGAGGTCTAGAGACTGGGCAAGGATGGAGGATGAGAAAGGAGCTTCACAATGAATGGGGAAGGCTGAGGAGAAGTGATGGCCACCCTGGCTGTGGGTGAGAGATGACCTATTCATGTCCCCCAGAGAGGGAGAGAGTTGTGTCTGCTTCCAGGAGAAATGTCTGATGGATTTGAGCCACAGAAGTTGAGTTGGGTTGGGGCGCTGGCATGCACCCCTTCCTTTTGGTCATGAAGAGACCCACTGCTTTCTCCCTGTGCCCAGCCTGGATATTGGGAGAACATCTTCAGCATTTGCTTTTCCCTCTCCTGGAACTGGAGAGGAACAATGGGGATGGAAATCAGAGCCAAACCAGATGTTTTGCTCAGTTCTCCCCAACCCCCACCTTCTCCTCAGGGGACTAGTGGTAGTTGCAGCACAACCAAGAGGCTTTCCAGAGTTGTGACTGCTCCATCAGCACGGCTGAAAAACCAACAGTGGGGAGGAATTGGGGTTAAGTGGGAGCTCCCACCACCTCCCAGCCCCTGTGTGTTGTGCCAGAAGCACAGCATCCAGGCTATAGCTCACGCTTTTACACTCTTGGGTGCACCCACAGTCTCGGAGGGGTCTCAGGGGGCGAGGGGTAGTCCCTGAGTCCCCACCAGGCTCATGGTGATGGCATACTACTCTTCTCACTCGTACTAGGGATGGCTGGGATGGGGCTGGGAAGGGGCTGGCACCTTGGGGACATCACTGGTGTCACTGACCGTTTCCTCTCCCACCACAGGGCTCCTCAACTTACGTGTCAGGTCTGTACGGATCCCCTCCGGCTGGTGCCTTGCCACATCAGCACCCTGTGAGTGCCCCCCCCCATCAGCACCTCCCTCCATGAGCTCTTCACTTGGGCACCTTGGGAGAGGGGGGAGTTGTGTGGCCAGGGCAGGCAAAAAAACAAGGGCTGGGTGCCAGCCACTCAACCCAACCCAAGTCAATCTGAACCAACCCAGCCCGACCCAACTCCTCCTCAACCCTGGCAACGGGAAGCCACCCCCGATCCATCTGATCCCTGACCCTCTGGCTCTGTCGTGCCCCTTCCAGCTGCCGGAGCAGGAGGTCGTGAACTTGTTCATCCCGATGCAGGCAGTGGGGGCCATCATCGGGAAGAAGGGGCAGCACATCAAGCAGCTGGCACGGTTTGCTGGTGCCTCCATCAAGGTGAGCAGGAGACTGCAGGGCTTTCCTGGGGGCTTCATGCCTCAGTTTTCCTGCTACTGAGGGCAGAGAATGGGAGCCCTTGCAGGGTGGTTTTGCTCCCCAGATTAGTAGAAACCCAGTCCTGCAGCAACCTGGTTGTCACTCCTGCACGGGTGGGGGGATGTCCCTGCATGGGGGAACATTCCATTTAGGGGAGGTGTTGCCCAAGGAGGGAGTCCCACTCACACACCTTCCCCCTCCCAGATCACCCCGGCAGAAGGTCCAGATGCCAGTGAGCGGATGGTGATCATCACGGGGCCACCCGAGGCCCAGTTCAAGGTGTGCTGGCTGTGTGGTGGGGGCTGGGTGGGGACATGGGTAGGGACATGGCGAGGGCATCCCTGTGGTCGCCGCTGTACTCCCACCCTCTGAGTGCTGGGGGCGCTCGTGGCTTGGGACCACAGTTTTGATGCTGGTGGACATTGGCACATCATTGCCTGTGGGGGTGGAGGGCACAGCAGGCACTGCTGGTTTTACTTCCCTTCTTCTGTCCCCTCTGCAGGCCCAGGGGCGAATATTTGGGAAGCTGAAAGAGGAAAACTTCTTTAACCCAAAGGAGGAGGTGAAGCTCGAAGCCCACATCAAGGTGCCTTCCTTCGCCGCCGGACGCGTCATCGGCAAAGGCGGCAAGACGGTAGGTGTGGGGTGCAGGGTGCTCCCACCTGCCCCCAGGGGTGGCATTCCCCCATCTCCCATCACCCTACCCAGGTGCTCTGTGATCACAGCAATGCCTCAGTCCCTGGAGGTGGTTCTTCATGGTGGCCGAGGGGGACGAGATGTGACCCACAGCATTCCCAGTGCCACGTGGTGGCTTGGAGCCCAGGCCGACACAGGCAGCAGAGGATTTTGGCTCTTCCATGGTAAAACCTGGATCCGTATCCTTTTCTCCAGGTGAACGAGCTGCAGAATTTAACGAGTGCAGAAGTGATTGTGCCGCGGGACCAAACCCCGGATGAGAATGACGAGGTCGTCGTCAAAATCATTGGGCATTTCTTTGCCAGTCAGGTGAGGTTTGGCCATGTGGCAGTGGCTTTTCTAGCATTCCCAGCCAGTTTGAGGAAAGCTACCAAGCACAGCATTCCCTCAGCATCCTGATGCCCTCATCTGGGAGGTTTCTGTGCAGTTTTGGTCACTACAGTGTAAGAAAGATCTGAAACCATTGGAGAATGTCCAAAGGAAGCAACGAGGATGGGGAAGAGCCTTAATTTGAAGGGGTGTGAGGACACTGAGGGCACTTGGTGTGTTCAGCTGGAGGAGACTGAGGGGAGACCTCACTACAGTCACAACTTCCTGGGCAGGGCCAGAGGAGGGGCAAGACTGAGCTCTGCTCTGGGAGGACCAGGGACAGCACCCAGGGAATGGCTGGAGCTGTGTCAGGGCAGGCTCAGGTTGGATCTCAGAGAAAGATCCTTCCCCCAGAGGGTGGTTGGCTCTGAACAGGCTCCCCAGGGCAGTGGGCACAGCCCCAAGGCTGCCAGAGCTCCAGGAGGGTTTGGATGATCCTCTGGGGCACAGGGGGTGACTCTTGGGGTTGGGCCTGTGCAGGGCTAAGGGTTGGACTGGATGGTCCTTGTGGGTCCCTCCCAGCTCAGATATTCTCTGGTTCTGTGAACAGTTTGTTTATGAGGCCAGAAATTATGAAGGAGGTTTGGCTGTATTAAAATTAAAGTTTTCCTCAATTTAGCCAAAATCTATGTCTTGCACACCAGGTGGGAACAGGCTTCCACATCCCACCTGGGTGCACGTACCACGCTCTTGGCTCCTGACTGCTGGGGGGTGATACCCCAAAACTGAGGCCATGGAGCGATGGAAGAAGACCAAACTAAACCCCAGCTTTCATTACAGCTGGGCTTGTCGTGGGGTTAAAAGCTGGCAGGGTGTGATGCTGTCATGGCTCAGGGAGAGTGCTGGTGGTGCCCCTGACCCCCATTTCTTGCCTCCCTCCAGACTGCCCAGCGCAAGATCAGAGAAATCGTGCAGCAGGTGAAGCAGCAGGAGCACAAACACGCTCAGGGAGCCACAGCCTCGCAGCAGCACAGCAAGTGAGGCTCCCACCAGCACCGCCCAAAGAATGTAACCCCCCCGGTGCCCCCTGGACCCCCAGCAGGGCAGGGCACAAACCAAAGACCCCTCCCCGGGCCCCCCAGTCTTCAGCTGGGAGGGGCACAGGGAGGGCTCCCTCCATCCCGCAGGCCTCCGCCTTATTCCATTGCCTCCCTCCCCTGCCCCAACGCTCTCCCTCCAGGTGGACTAACACAGGCAGAGAGAGGGGATTTGGATTCTGGAATTTTGGGGGAATTTATTTGGGATTTGTTTGGAATTTTCCCCCACCCCATTTCACCCAGGAGGGGCTGGCCTGGCTTGGGGGGGCTGCGGCACTCATTAAGTTTGGAATTAATATATCGGTAATGAAACTAACGCCCCATTTTCAAGTTTTGTAAGGTTTTATTTTGGTTTTTTAATTTTTTTTTTTTTTTAAATTTTCAGGGGGAGGTGGCTGTTTGTTTTTAGCAAAAGCAGGCTTTTCTAGAGGTCTAAGGGTAGGAGCTGGTCCATTGGTTCTCTAATGCGCCATAGAGCAGAGCTGTAGGATTGCCTAGGGAAAAAAATTATTAAATAAGTGTTAAAAAGCAATTTCTGAAGGGCTTTGAGAAGAGCAGGGCCTGTAGGAGTCAGCAGGATTCCCCTTGCCTGCTGCAAGAGGAATCTCTCCTTCACCCACCCTTTCCTCTTTGCTTCACAGACTCCAAAAGTGGGGGTTGCATCTGTTCTGTCCCCCCTTTCTATCTGTCTGTCCTCTCTCCATCACTGCCTGGCGCTGACATCCCTGGAAAACCATGGGCAGCACCAGCCCTGCCCGCTTTGGGCTGGAGTTTTGGGGAAATATCCTTGTTGCAGGGAGAGGAGGGGAAAATGGGTGGGAAAAAAAAAAAAAAGGATTTACAAGAGGGGTTGCCAGCCCAGGGGCTGGAAAAACCAACCAGCAAAATGAAAAATAATTTTTTGAAAAATTTTTAAAAAATATTTTTAAAATTAAAAAATATCCCCAACGATTCCCCCAACACAAACACACACACACACACACACAAACTACCTCAGGTTTTCGTACCTCAGCACCTTGTTGCTTGTGTTGCCCTTTTAGAGATTTTTGTATGCCTTGTAAAACTGAGAGTTGGAGCTTTTTTTTTTATTATTATTTTTGTAATTAAAAAAAAAAAAAAAAACGAGTTGGAAAAATGATCTCGATCAAGTCAACTGTGAGGTGGAAGAAGGAAACCACCCACCCCCCCACCCCATGTCCCAGAGCTCTTCCGTGGTCTCCTGCAAGCTGAGAGCCAGTGGCCGTTCCTTCAGAGAAAGCTTGAGAAATGATTCAATAGTTCCAAAAAAAAAAAAAGGGGGAAAAAAGAAAAAGCCAAACATGAAAAATAAATAAAAAAACAAACAAAAAAGGGTTTAAACAAATACAAGTGATGGGTGGAAGCAGCGGAAGCGCCAGGCAGGAGGAGGGATGGGAGCTGAGGGCTGCGAATCCGTATTTTCCTCTGCTGCAAAGTGTTGTGTGAAAACCAACCTGAGACACCAACAAAAGAGAAATATATCCAGCTAACCAGAACCTGAGCCTGCTCTCTGTGATTTTTTTGGATCCCTGGCATTGGGCACAGCTGGGGCTTCCTCCGTGGATGCCCCATTTCCCTACAGGTGGGGAAGGAAGGGGTGGGTGGGGTGGGATTTTGGGGAGGGCAGTGGGTGTAGGCATTGCAAGGTGGCAGTTGCCAGCGTGGAGCCACCTCTCCTTCCCTGCAAGTCCTTGGCAAAGCCAAAACAGTGCAATATCCAAGGGGGAAATATTCCCGACAGGGTGGGGATGTCCTTGGGGGGCAGGGGTAGGGCTGATGGGGCCACGGTGAGAGAACCCCCCTCTGGGCTCTTCCACCCTTCCAGGTGCCTTGGAAAGGGCAGGCTCTGCTGTCACCCCAAAATACCTCAGAGCACCAACCTCCCACCCCAAACACCTCTGTTGTGTTTGCCCCCAAAAAAGAACAATTCATCCTCACAACTGCAGCCCTGAACAGGGAGAACCAAAGGGAAGAGGGAAGGACACCTAAAACATGCAGACCTTACATCTGTGGCCTTAGGGAAGATGATTATCCCTGATGAATTATTTGTAAGGACAAAACACAACCAATAGCCTTTGGAATCGCTCTCCCTTTGAAGAATCTGAGTTTGGGGCAGATTGAGGCAACTAGTGGTAAAAGAAAAGGTGGATAAAGCCCCTCTGCTCCTCGAGGAGAGAGGATCTCCAGGCAAGGAACAGCACAGGTATGTCCCCCAGAGCCCTGGAGAGGAGACACGCCTTCCTCTTCCTCAGGAATTGGGGGCAAGTTAAAAAACCACATGCAGACACCAAATTGGTTTTCAATTAAAAAATAAATTAGTCTAATTTATTAACAAGTAAAGTTCCCTTACAGTAAGGCTCTTACATAAATTAAATATTTATCTTAACAGTAAGAAATAAATACTTTTCTTTTTTTTACAGAACAGTGTTTTTGTTAACAGTGCATGTCTCACAGCAGCTGCTGATGAATTATTTCCCACACCATCTTCCGGCGGAAGTAAGGCATGTGTTCCTGGAGAGAAAAGGGAAAAATCCATTAAACAGGAAGGCAGGGGAGAAAAAGGCAGAAAATCTCCAAAAACACCCAGGAATTCTTGAATGGAAGTTGCTTTTGAGAACTGTCAGCACCTGCCGTTTAGGTACAAGGTGGGTTTCACACAAGGGTGAAACAACCACCCAACAAAGCCACATTTGCTCTAAAGGATGTTTATTAAAGGCCACCACGCTGGAAAATAACCAGTGTCTGAACTGCTCCAAGGAGGAAAACTCTTTTCCAAGAGATACAAAGGCCAGATATTAGAAACCCCTGGCTGCAGCATCTTGTGGTTGGAATGAGATGGGTTTTAAGGTCCCTGCCAACCCAAACCACTCTGGGATTCCGTGATTCCACGATCTTGCCAAGAAGCAGACACAAGACATGAGGAACAAGCCCTTGGCCCCTGCCCCAGCTGCTGTTGGACTTCCCCAGCTCTTGTATCCATGTGGGAAAGGCTGGAGCTGTTTCTCAATTACCTGTGTGAAGGTGATGGGTTTGTCTCTAGAGATGGAATCAGCAAATTTGCAAACAAAAACCCCGCAGTCACTTCCATTAGTTTGTTGAGGGATTTCCTGAAGAACACAAAAAAAGATGGAGAATTTTTATCTGCCTTAAAAGAGCAGCAGTTTGGTTGCAGCACACATTACCCACACCAACAGCTCCTGAAAACCTACTTCCAGAATCCGTTTCCCGCTCCCAAACCCAAGGAATAGTCCCAATTAATCTCTCCTGCTTCCTTGGAAAGTGTTATACTCTCCCTCACATCCCAAATCCAGGCATTGCTCACGTTACCTCTGGGCTCAGGCTGCGAAGAGTCCACTCGGAAGCAGTCAATTCCAGGTTTCTTTTTTCCCTGCTTTCCTCTTGCAGGTATTGTCTGTTTAAAACAACACAAAATTGCTTTTCATCTCCCCAGTTTAGGGCAACAAAAAAAAAAGCTGCTGAAGGGTGACAGGAAGGTGAGTGGCAGTGAAATGTCTGAGGATCCTCACAGCAGCAGATTTAAGGAATGTGGAGAAAAAATCCCAGTCTTAAATTTCGAGGCAAAGTGAGAAGCGGCAAGTGGGGTTCCCCAAGGCCAGTCCCATTTAATATCTTTATCCATGATCTGGATGAAGGGATCAAAGGCACCCTTGGTCAGTTCACAGATGACACCAAGTTGGGTGGGATGTGGATCTGCTGAAGGCAGTAATGTGTAGCAGCTGTATTGGAAGGAAGGACATTGAGGGGCTGGAGTGTGTGCAGGGAAGGGAATGGAGCTGGGGAAGGGGCTGGAGCAGCAGGAGCAGCTGAGGGAGCTGGGGGGGCTCAGCCTGGAGAAAAAGAGGCTCAGGGGGGACCTTCTGGCAACTCCCTGACAGGAGGGGGGAGCCAGAGGGGGTGTCGGGCTCTGCTCCCAGGGAACAAGGGACAGAACAAGGGAAAATGACCTCAGGCTGTGCCAGGGGAGGTTCAGATTGGATGTTGGGGAAAATTTCTTCACTGGAAGAGTTTTTAAGCATTGGAAAGGGCTGCCCAGGGGAGGTAGTGGAGTCCCCATCCCTAGAGGTGTCCAAAGAAGGCCTGGACATGGCACTCAGTGCTCTGGGCTGGGTGACAAGGTGGGGGTCGGGCACAGGCTGGACTCCATAGGCTGGAAGGGCTTTTCCAACCTCAATGATTCTGGGATTCTGTGGTTTGTCTCTGTGGGGCTGCTCTTGCTCTAAAAAGCTGCTGGATTAAGGATTTTTACTGGCAAAGACATTTAAGGATGTCCAGGACACATGAAAACTTGCCCCAGTTACACTCCAGGTGATTTAAAACACTGAGCAGAACCGAAGAGGTACAAAGTGAGGAGCAGCCTGGGCCAGGGCAGGACCAGTCCAAGTGGAGAGGAAAAAAGGCCTCAAAATAATCAAAAGGATAAAAAAGCAGCTACTCACAGCAGGGTTTTACAAATGTTGTCTCCCTTCTGTCCCAAGGAGTCAAAGTATTTGATAGTTTTCTTTCTGACATCTATGACCTGGGATTAAAAGGAAATGTTGGACAAAGCACATCCCAAACCCTAAAGGACTTTCCTTGCTAGTTTTGTTCCTCCCATCCCCTAAATAAAAGGCCAGTTTGACTCACCAGCAGCGTCCAGTGCACTCTGAGGTGAATGGGTACCAGGATGAGATCCTGCTTGAAGAGATCCACACCTCTGGTCCACCTCCTCACTGCTTTGTAGCCTCCAGAACACAGTTTGGGGTAAAAGAAGGTACTAAAAGCATGGAGTGCTGGATAGCCTTCCTTCTTGCTTCTTTCCACCAGAAGGTTCATGTAGAAATTAATGACCTGGGCCAGGGAGAGGAAAGTTAAGATGTAAGAGAAGGCAGTAACTCAGCAAATGAAAAAGGCACCAACACGTCTTTGCTGGCCACCCTTGAGAACACAACAGAGAGAAGCCCAGCTGGCAGCTTTGGCTCTGGGAACGTTGCACTTGGTGACTTGTGCTGCTGGATGAAAGCACCTGCCCCTACTCCAGCAACACAGCCTGACCCCTGGGAGCTGCACAACCCAAGGAGAGGAGCTTCCAGAAACACCAGAGCCATAAGCAGTCAGAGAAGGGGTGCTCCTACAGAAGTGCTGGGTTAGAGTATCCCTGTGGTCATCTTACCTCGTCATTGAGCCAGCACAGCTGCCGCAGGGTGCAGATGTCCTCACGAGTGACCTTGAGCTTGAAGGCACTGCTCAGGATCTCACCAGGCTCCCCTTTGCCAAAGGCAGCAGAGACCTCCCTCTCCATGGCCTGGAATGGGACAATTCAATGGGGAAGGATTCGTGAAACAGGACATGGAGCACAGCAACCTCAGACAACCTCTAAATTCAGCTAAGGTGCCACAGCAACAGGCATTGCAGGGATCTGCTACACCAGCAACAGCACTGGTTTGAGCACAGGTACCTCTGTGAGTGGAGCAAAGTCTTCTGCTAGCTTTTCTGAGGGTGGAAGTGGCTCTTTGTCCACAAAAAAGAAGTCCTTGGACAGAACAGGTGTCACATGGAATTGGAATAACATCCGTTGGGACACTTCAGCTTCACCCTGGCCCTGTTAGATGGAAGGACATGAAGTTACAGAGCAAGCACAGGAGCTTGGGGGGCATAGTGCAGAAAATCCTGCTTGTGTATCAAGCTAGGAGGGGTTTTGTACATACAGCCAAACAGCAAACTCCAAAGTCACTTTTGAGTGGTGACCATGTCCCAGCTGTGCCCTCAGAACAGAGGCCAGAGAGGCAGGAAGATCCCTTGGCTTGGACCAACATTCAGAGCACCAGTAAAGCCTCTAAGGTACCAAGCTGAGATCAGAATTAATACTTATGATTTCCACACTACAAATTTTGTTTTGGATCCTGACCAGAGATGAGTTCTATTTTCCTTAAAAAAAGTGAAATAATGACTAATTGAGGGTTACCACTGCAACAGCTTGTTTCTCTGCTATTCCCTGTCCATGGGAATCCTCTGGTGGTGTGTAGTAGCTAAGGAGAGAGAAAGAGAGGCAAGTGAGTTGGATATCCACCCTATCCCATGAAATTCCCAGGAATTCACCTTCTGGATAAGAAGTGCTTTTTCAAGGCTGATTCTGACACATGACAACATCTCAGTTTCCTGCCCCACTCCTTCTGCAGCAGCAACAATGGGATAGATGAAGAGCTTCCAGTAGGTGCCAAACCTACCATAGGTGCCAAACTCAGTTTTATTCTTTGGAAAACAGGGGAACAACCAGTGTTTTGTGACCTCCTGATGACAAACACCACATGCCAGGTTTGTTCCACTGCCTGTGGAACAGGAACATCTGCATCTGTCCAAGTGCAGTTGGCTTATGGGAACTAAGAGCAGCACATGGAATTTGGGGGGAATGGGACAGCTGTGGGGTGTTTACTTGCCTTTTCTAGTCAAGAGAGGGACTATCCCCCTGTGGAGAGGATGAGCATTAAAACCACACAGGCTCTGAAGAGCAAACAAACACAGACATTAAAGTTGTCCGTATCTCTCCCATTGTCACAAACAATCTCCTTTGCCAAGAGGGAGACCTACAACAGACTCTCATGGTGTCCTACACTCGCTGTGCTTTAAAGGCACATGGTAAGAGAGATCACAGGCCCTGTCAAATGACAGGGGCTAAATCCGAAAAAAAAACCGCAAGAAAATATTCCTTTGACTCAAACCCATCACACTGTACCAGTTATTTCCTTCTCTCCCCTCCAGCTTAAGGGAGGCAGTGAAAATTTAACACAGGATGGTGCTGCACATCTAAATATAGTCCTTGTGTCTAAGGGGGAAGATGAATACGGACAAAACTACCTAAAAACAGGACTGGCACAACTGAATGTCTCCTGCTCCCATCTGAGCTTTCTGCTCTCTCATCTAAGCGCAGGAAGATGAATAGCTCACACTGCCAAACCAAAATCTCTCCCTGTAGCTGCAGCCACAAGCCACTTTACCTCCAAAACACAAAGGCACCAGCACTCCCAGTCCTGCCACCAAGGAGCCCACTGGCCCCTGGTGAGGGACAGCCTGGTGAAGCACACTCCCTTTTTGGGCTTCTATTCAAACCCAAGACATCCTGCAGCCACAAAGCTGCCTCAGTCCCTCCAGGCTTTACAAGCCTTACGGCTCAGGATCCATAGGAAATGCAATGCCAGCCCATTAATGGTTTGGCACAAAGACACTCACAAGCAACAAGGGATTCTGCAAACCCAAGAGCAACCTGGTGCAGCCACCACTGTTCCCCCTCTACTGGCTTCCTTCTCCCAGAAAGGAGCAGCTCTGGCAGGGGAGCCAGATTTGAGGGACAACTGGCTTTGAGCAATTCCACAAAATTAACTGCTCCTTTCCCCCCACACTGAGATGATAAACTGGATTTGTCTTCTGGAGGCTGAGAGACTCATGCCCCTAGAGCCAAAAGAAACAGGGACCATAATTAAAGGACACTCTTACCTGATCATGACCCCTCTCTGAGGCAACTGAGGGCTGAAAACATCCCCACGTTTGACACCTGCACATAAAAGCAGCAAAATGGGAACAAGAAGGTGACTTTCCATCCCAGCAGCTCTCGGTTTCAGGGTGACAACACAAAAACTTTGACTGGTGGCTGTACAGTTTGAAGTTCAGACTCTGGCACCTGCTCAGAAATCACTTCAAACCCCAGATGATTTCAAAATAAAAGCCCTGATGTGTAAAAAGAAGTAGGGATGAAACAATACTGAAATAATGAGCAGTGGAAAAAAACACCTGGTACAATATTAAACATATATGCAATTGGTTTACTTGGTTTGGAAGCTCTGCTATCACAGAAAATAGCATTAAATGTCTAGCATTAAATGGATTAACTCAGAGCAGCTCAGAGTTAAGTAGCAGCATCTGGGGGTGCACAGTCACATATTCCCCTCCCCTGGTAGAAAAACTCAGGTACTACAACCTTCCCCCTGGGCAGTGGGGTCACATCTGCAGCTACAAACAGCACTGCTACAGCCATGTCTCAAATACCATTTTAAACCAATTTTTTTCCCCTCCAGTTTAGCCAATAACTAACTGTTCTTTGGGAGGGGGGGAGGAAATGCCCTGTTTTGGTTGGAAGTCAACCTACAAAGACCAGACCGGAATCCTGGGGATACTCACTGGCCCTTTGTGTCACACTTAGATAGACACCCCTGGATTTTTGTCCTTTCAAGTGACTCCCAGTTGCCACTGATTCCTTGGAGTGGGTCTGAACCCTTTGGAGTAGCATAAAAAAAAAAGACAAAGAAAAATCACAGTTTTCCCAAGTGATTTGTTACCAGTGCACAACAATTCATTAGAAAGGACATAGTCGATTTGTACCCAACTGTCTCAATTACAGCTGGAAGCCACAGTTAAAGGAATAGAAATATATAAAGTAAAATGAGGCTGTTTAATCCCTTACAGAACCATCCTGTCACTGATTCCATGACCAAATGCTCATTTCCATGAGTTTACATCCACAAGTTTGGCTACTTTCAACCCAGTGAATATAAAAGAGTCAAATTTTCTGTCTCCACTGTTTTAAAAGAGACTCATCAATCATAACATTTGATTCTGTCCAAAGCCCTGAGAGTAGGAAAGGTTAATTCCCCTCCCCTTCCACGTACAACAAAGTCAGCCCCCAAGAGCTAAGGGACATTTTGCTTATAATTACATGTTGAAGTTTGCTGGCTGGGGAGAATTAAGGCCTCCAGAATATTTTTTCTTGAACAGCTTCAAGAACTCTTTGTATTTCCGGCTTTCTCCTCGACGAACATCCTAAGAGAGGGGAAGGAAAAAAAAACTTCATCAGGAATTCCCACCCCTTCCTTTTGTCTGAGCCTGACTGTGGAGGACCTATGCAGCTGTTTCATCCCAAAGGAATTCCCTTCTCCCCAAATTACCTCCTCAGCAGCACACAGGGGCCTCCCCATGCTGTTGGCTCCCAGAGAGGTGGGACCTGGCACGGGGAGCTCCTTGATGGGGGGTCTAGGTGTCACAGGGCTGTCTGGAGCTGGTTGGATGTGGTGATTACTCTTGTTCGGGCTAAAAACACCAACAGAAAAGAAACTGTATGAAGAGAACACTCAAACCTCCTGATTTGTTAATTAACACCTCCTGATTCAAGCAGGGGCACCCATGGAAGGCTACCCCTTGTCCAGATGGGTTTTCCAACATCTCCATGGACAGAGACTCCAGCACCTCTCTAGGTAACCACCCTCAGAGTAAAAAAGTGTTTCCCAATGGAATTCTCTGGGGTTTTTAGGGGTGAGTTTTTTGTGGTTGTGGGTTTTTCCGTTTGCATTCCTGGTCTCAGCCTCTTCCCAAGTTTAACACTTCCTCCAGCCACAGGAGGTGGAAGTGCTGTACTTGTTCATCTTCCTCAGATCTCCTGTGTCTATGAACTATCTGGATTTAAAGAGCAAGTTTAAAGTTGGTTAAAGAAAAAAAAACAAACAAACAACCACAGCTGGAGACCTCCCTTTAGCACAGAACACCGTGGAAAAATCCTGCTCTGTGAACACAAGTACAAATGTTGGGCAATACAGAGGAAGTTTGAGGATGAAAGAAATAAAAAACCTTCAGAGAAGAAGTGAAAGGAAACAGAAGGATTTTTACCTCAGATATGGAAGTCCCTTGTAAGAAAGGGACAGCATCTCCCTAGCCAAGCATGTGTTGGTGTCACAAGGCATTTTAGCTGCAAGAGAAGAGCACTAACCATCAGCAACTGCTCAAGGAAACTGGAGTTTTAGGGGTTCAAAGAGCTTCACCAAAGAGAAATTACTTTTGTTTTCTCCCTTATGTCCTTATATTATTTGTGTTATGTTGCTTCATATTGGCAACTACAGAATGTTACCAGCCTAAACCTGGATAAAAGAGGGTTATGAAGCTCTACTACCTAAACTTAGCACTTAAAACAGTTGCCTTCTGGTAAACTAACAGTGGGCACAACTGAAGGCAACAGAGCTGCACTCAGGGCAGCTCCTGAACTGAAATGCCAGGATAAATCACAGAATATCCCTGGAAGAGACCCCAAGGATCATCCAGTCCAACTCCTGGCCCTGCACAGGACACCCCAACAAACCCACCCTGTCCTCAGGGTGTTGTCCAAACCCTCCTTGAGCTCTGGCAGCCAGGATGCAGGGAAGAAACAGAGCTCACACTCCAGTATTCCCAGATACTGTGCCTTCACTAATGAGTCCCTAAGCCAGGGGTAGAGCTGCACAGGGCAGCAGCACACAGAAATGAGTGAAGAACTTGCTGTCCAGCCTTACCAACTTGTACTCTGTTCTCATCTGCCACAGAGTCTGCTGCTCTTTCAAATGAAGAGTCAGAAGTGGCCTGAGCCTGAAATAAAACCAAAAACAAGCACCAGAGTGAGTACAACCAGAACATGAACCCAAGCAAACCTCAGGCCTCCTGAAATCCAGTCAGCTCTGTCCTGCCTCGGGGCCCAGGGTTTGCTGCTTCAGGTTGCTGCAGGAGCTCTCACGGGATCACCTCACTCATGCAGGGATTGACACAGCACAAGCTTATTATGTCTGAGTTCTCCTCTAAATCTTTGCTCACCCCTTTTCCAGGCTCAGGCAGAGAAGCGGCATCACCGCCCGAAGCCTCCTGGCATCCACTTGTTGCCTTGGGTGGAAACTGGGTGGCCACAGAAACGTCTTTGGGTCTCTTGTTAGTCCCACAGATGAGACATTCTGAAAAAAAGCCACACCACCAGGCCAGAATAGGAAAATTAGGATTTCTATTCGCATCAAAGCCCAACTCCTTGATCCAACCTGACCCAGGTAACTAGTTTCAACAATGCACCAACAGCCCCTCCTGCAACACCAGGGGCAGCATCATTCCCAAGTAGGAATTAAGAAGCTCTGCATTCCCTGTGGGACAGCCACAGCTTTAAAGCAGTCTTTGTGCTACCCTGTAGAGGGGCTCAGTGCCAGAGAGACCTGGGATATGCCTGTGCCACACACAGGCAGGAGTTTTCCTTGGTGCAAATACATGGAATTCCCAGGAAGGAGAAAGTTGTTCCCTGCTTCTCTCTTCATCAGGCCACAATCTCCAACCCTCAGGCTGGAAAAGCCCTCTAAGATCATCAAGTCCCAGCACTGCCAAGGCCACCTTTAGCCATGTGTCACATCCACACGGATTCTGAACACCGGGACACATCATCAGTAGGCCCTGGCCCCTTAAGACTCCTTCAGGCCACAAAAAAGGCTCAGAAATCCACAGTTTCAGCAGCAATTTGTGAAGTGCAAAACCCAGAGTTACCTAAGGGACCTCACACCCAAGGAAAACCAGGCACACTAACCCCTTCTGTGAGGCGCAATATCTGTTCTTTGCTTCTTTGCAGGAATATCGTCAGGATCTTCCACAGGTGACGGAATGCTGAGGGAAAGAACAGGCACAACAGCGTTTTGCAACCACAGTTCAGCTCCCACCTTCCCTTCACATATCCCAAAGATCTCCCCTGATCTCTAGGATCGTCCCACTAAACCATATCAGGCCTCTTTTTTTCCTTTGTGTTAATGCTTCCTGATGTTTTATGTGTGTTTCTATCACCAAAAAAATTCCTTATTTGAGTAAAGTTTTCCTCTTTCCTTGAGGAGAGTAGCATTCCAGAGGTCACTAAGCCATCCAGGTTCATGTCACTACACTGAGTTGCAAAGGAAAGTTTAAGTAGGACAGGAAATAAAAGGTGGGAAAGCAACTCCTGCTTACACCCACTTCCACAACTTCAATAACCTGCTGAGTCAGTGCTTGGGAACGAGTCCTTGAAATAATTACCATCCTCACCCTTTCTCAGAAGCCCAAATCCCAGGATTCTATCAGTTGATACCCTGATAAAGTCCAGCAAAAACTTTCCCTTTAGGAACAGAGCGCAAAGGATGTTCCTATTTTTCTTCCCACGAGCTCATTCCTCATGAGCTGCTCCTCGGTGGAAACTTCTTGTGCAACACGCAGCTCTTTCCAGAGGCATTCCATTGCCTCATTCACTCTGGAATGGTGCAATAAGCAGAGCCTCCCAGAGGAAGTTGCTCCCAGAGGGAGCCACCACACTGCCCAAAGCACAGCACGGAATCCATACATTCCCTCTGTTCCTAGCGGTGCAAATGGTTCAGCCATCAGCATTGGGAGCTCTATGTGTAATGCCTGGGAAGGCAGCCCCCTTCCATCAGGCCACATCCATATTCCATGGCTTCCCTCCATCCAACATATACCCTTCCCTGCTCCTCCAGCTCACCTGCTCCAAATGCCCACCCCTTTGATCCTTTCCAAGCCCCCACTGTGCAGACGGGAAGGCAACGAGGGGCTAGGTTGGCCAATGGATTTATGGGGAATATCCAGGACCCACAATCCCTTCAGTATCTGGAATTTACTGGAATATCCAGGACTCACAATCACTTCAGCATCTGGGATTTACTGGGAATATTTGGGACACCAAATCACCTCAGAACCTGGGTTTGACACTGGTTTTATCGGGAATATTTGGGAGCCACATTCACCTCAGCATCTAAGATTTAACAGGAATATTCGGGACCCACACTCACTTTAACATTTGGGATTTATCACGAATATCTGTGACCCACAATCCCTTCAGCATCTGGGTTTTTTTATGGATTCATGGCGAATATCTGCGACCCACAATCACCACCATATCTACTACTTATCGGGGACACCTGGGACCCACAATCACCGCGGCACCTGGGCTTTTCTTATGGATTTGTGGGAAATATCAGGGACCCACGCGGGGCGCCGGGGCAGCAGCAGGAGGGCCGGGGTCAGGAACCGCCGTGTTTGGCAGCAGGGGCTGACCTGGGGGGCGGCCTCTTTGCGCTGGGCGGGTCCGGGCCGGGCTGCGGTGCCAGTTGGGGTCTGGCGGCGGCGCGGAGGGCGCGGAGAGCCCCGAGCAGCCATTGGTACATGGGCCGCGCGCCGCGCAGGAAGTGCGCGCGCCCCGCGCGCCGCACCGCCCCCCGCGCCGTCAGGCCACGCCCCCCGCACTGATCGGTCACGCCCACCGCCCCACCCACCCCAGTAATGGCACCTGACCCCACCCACCACGCACTACGGCCCCGCCCACCACCGGGTGACTGCGCCCGCCAGGCCCCGCCCGTGACGCACCGGGGTAGCCACGCCCCCAGACCGCCTCGCTCCGCCCCCCTCCACCGGCCCCGCCCCCCCGCGCGTGGATGGGGCGCGCGTGCTTTAAAATATTTTGAAGCCGAAATTGGGGCCGTTTCCGCCCCTTCTGGACCCGTCCCGACGCCCCCCCGGTCGGCCCCGCGAGCTGGGTGAAGAGCCTTCCCTGCTGGGGAAGCCGGGCTCTGTTGAGGATCAGTGCCCGGCGTCCCTGGGTGGTGTTGGGAACCCCTGGGCTTTCCCTGCGGTTCCTGCCTTTCGCCGGGATTTCTGCCTTTCCCTGGCATTCCTGTCCTTATCTTCCCTGGGATTCCCTGGATTGTTCTGGGGCTCCTGCCCTCCCCCGGGGCTTTGCGGTGGAGAATCCCCCCGCCTCCCAGGAAAAGGGGGGATGTCCCTGTGGTTCCCCGCCCTCCTTGTCTCTTCCCGGGATGCGGAATTTCCCGTCCCGGGGCTCACCGAGCAGTGCCCGGCTCACGGCGCCACTTTCTGCTCAGCATCTCGGCAGCTGCTCTGTCGCGACAAGAGCCGAACCACGACTAACGGAGCGTCGGTTCTCAAGCGCCGCGTTCGAGCTCGGACCGCCCGGTGGTGCCGCGGGGCTCGCCCGCTCCTCGCGCCTGGAATCCCGGGAACGGCCGCATTCCCGCCGCGATCCTCGCGCCTGCTCCGCCGTTAAAAGAAGGGCTCCTGGATGCTTTTCCCCGTCACTTCCCATCCGTTCGCCCCGGGCCGGGAAGGAGCAGCGGGAGCCACATCCCGGAGCGTGGCTCCATCGTTTCCACAGGAGCGGGAACGATGTTTAAAGGGAGGAAGGAAGGAGAGCGAGGAGGAAAATACGGAGATTAAAGCAGTTTTTCCCCCAGCAGGTCCTGCTGGCTATTCCTGCTCGAAGGAAATCCAAGGGGGTGGTGGGATCTGGTTTAATTAAAACGACCTTCCTGGTTATTTTAGGAGCTTAATTCCCAGTCCGCTACACTTCAGGCTTCAAGTAAGGAGCCTCAGCCTGGATGCAGAGCCCAGCAGAGGGCACAGCAGCGCCACGCAGGAGCTGCGGAGCCTCCATCCAACCCCTTCCCCAGCCTTCACCGGGATCAGGTGCCTCGCACTCACTCCCCTTCCTCATCCTCACTTGGATAAAGTACATCCCGCTCACTCCCCTTCCCCGTCCTCACGGGACAGAGGAATTCTAAGGGATTTTAGGTCTGTTAAGTGAATTTAAATCTCGGACCGATATTGTGCAAGCTGGGAACGTGCCTGGCTGTGTCCATGGAGTGGAAGCCACCGATGTAACTTGTGCAGCTGGAAGAGTTTATCCCAAACAGGATCATTAACGTGGAATCACATGAACTGGGTCTGTTTTACACGGTGTTGGTGTGCAGACTTTTGCCATCTCTGAAACATCAATAATGAATAAATTAGGATTTAATTAAATAAATGCCACCGGGCTGAGCAAACTTTCTTCTTGCACTGTTTTCCTCACAGCAAAATTTTCCTTTTTTCTTTTTTCTGTTTTTTTCTCCCCTAAAAACATAACAACAAGGGCTGTGTGTTGTAATTCCTGGCGTGTCTTCCCAGAGCAGTTTTGCATTGGACGTGTTTCCCAATCCCAGTATTTTTGCAGCTGCTGGCTCCCTCCATGACTTCATCCTTACTCTGCCTCTGAGCTCCTTGCTCAGGGCACTGACGTGGTGTGACTCAAAATGATGATAACCCAAATCATGTAACCCAAAATCCAATCACTGGCTGTTCAATACACCCAGATTACTCTGTCCCACCTCCGATCCTAGAGGGAGCACAGAGAACTTGCATCATAAATTATTATTATTTATGGCTCATTACTTATGCTTTGCCCAAACTCTCTACCTTTAGTGCAGCTTCTGTGTGACAGCAATGGGTTTCCAGTACCTGGTGTTTCAAATCAGTGGGATAACAAAGTAATTCCTCTCAGTAATTAGTCGGAGAAATGATGGGTAATTTTAGTTACACACCTGATTTAAGTATATAAAGCAAAGGAGAGATAATCTCATTTAAATTCCTGTGTCCAGGGTTCCAAGTGGAACAGCCTGCAGGATGAGGGGTTAACCTGGCTGGAGGGAAGGAATGAGAAAGTGAGACAAGGGAAGAGAATGCAAGGGAAGGGGTGGGAAGACAAGTCAAAACAAGGGATGAGGAAGTGAGGGCATGGTAAGGAAAAGCTAGAAGAAGGGAAGGGATGGGAAGGCAAAGTAAAGGAAGGCAAGACTGGACAGAGGGCACCTGAAACACCTTGGCCAGGTCTCCCAACCCCATTCTGAGGTCAGGATAGGCAGATTCCACCTGCCCTAATATTTCCCCACCTCTCACTTCTACCCCCTCCTCACCAGGAAAGCGACCCTGGGGGCAGCAGATACCCAGGATGAGCAGCCTGATGCTGGAGAGCTCTGGGGCAGCCCAGAGGCATCTCTGCTCTGAACTGTGCTGAAAATAGAGCCCTTGGGAACTCTTGGTGTGCAGACAGTGTTTAACTGAGGCCTCCAGCCTGCCCAGTATCCAGGGTGGGTGACAGCAATGGTCCTCCTGACCACACCCTCCAGGGAGTTTGTCCCTGACCGTCTTCAGGGCAAGCAAGTGATTATACTTGAGTACTTCCTTCCAGATCCACCACTCTTTATCCTGATTTCTCAGCAGCTGCTGGATCTCTGGACCCTCTGGTCCCTGAGTAGTGTGTATGGTGATCATCTCCCTTGGGGTGGTTTCTTGGTGTGGCTTTTCAGATGCGAATTGCCAAGCTAGAAGCCTGTGAGTACCCGGATAAGTCCTAGAAAGGGAAGGTGCTGACTTCTGGGAAAGAAGGGTAGGTTGGATGGAGCTTGGAGCAACCTGGTCTAGTGGCAGGTGGAGTTTCCACAGGGATATTGGAGTTCCCTTCCAAACCAAACTGTCCTGTGATTCTTTGATCTCAAGCACAGGCTTCTTTCTAACTCTCACTTTAAGCAGGTGACTTATTGCCTTATCAGTCCCTTCTACTGCTCTTCCAGGAACCACTTGTGAGTGGGAGCTGGCTGGAACATTCTGCTGGGATAAGCCACTGGCAGCTGAATTTGGAGCAGAAGTGGACAAGCCACACAAAACAGGTGGGATCAAATTCTACTCTCCGTGGGGTGGTTTGCAGAAAGATGAGAAAGGAGCCTTTATACAGCAACAGAGGGAGGACATTTCCAGCTCAGATAAATTTCTGAGCCCTCTTGCTTTCTCATCCTGAAGGGACAGGGACACCTTTCACCAGACCAGGCTGTCAGAGCCCCATCTAGCCTGGCCTTGAAGACTTCCAGGTACGGGGATTCCCTCCTGCCTTTCTCGTGGTCCCCGTAAAATCCATAAAGGCAAAAGATCACTGTCAGACAGCAATGTGGCTGCATCTCCTGGGTCTGGAGACGATGAGAGTGTTTCCACTCACTCCAGAGGCTGTAGGGCAGGATGGAAGGTAACAGGTATGGACCCAGCACAGGCGCTGCCCTCAGGCCAGGGGTCTCAGGGGTTCTCTCTGCTCCCACAGGCTCGGATTTAGTGCTGAGTTGACTCAGAGTGACTCTGTCTGACTCGCTCAGGAGCAGGGCTGAGCTTTTCCAAAGGAAAACTCACATTAAACTCTGCCAGAAGGCTCTGGTGACCATATGGAGCTGAAAGAGGGATGGGGGCCAGCCCTGACCTTTATGGTAGGGAGGGCAGTGCTGCTGACCCTCTCCCTGCCCCCTGGGGGGGCTGTTCTCAGCCCGCTCAGGTTGTTCCACAGGGCCCTCCGCTAAACAACACAATTAAATCCTTGAGTCCAGGTTTTAGTGTTTCCATGTGCAGCTAAGTATCTTAATCTGGGCTGTTTGGGGAATTTTTATCCAGTGGATCCCTTGGTATGCCTGGAATGTTTGCTTTCCCTACTGTGTGCGTGTGTTTGAGGCACTCCTGTGAAAACAAGGGCTTCCTGCCTGCCTTGTAAATCTTTCCTTGATTGGCAGAGTGGCCTTTGGTGATTAATCAAGGGGCACGACAGAGCTGACACCCTCCAGGAGTTGCTTCTTGCAAATACCCGGCACATTGGTGGGAGACCTGGGAGGGGGACCCCGAGAGCTGGCTGCTCTCCAGAGCTGTGTGGTGACACGGGATTTCAGTAAGAGCCTGGGAGAGGAAGGACTGAGCGGAAATTCCAGCTAGCTAAGGAAATGCTCCAGAGGGCCAGGACTTGGGAGGTATTTTCTATTGTATCATTGAGCTGAAACATGCAGCTCTGCTTGGAGTGATTCACTTGGAGGCCAAGGAAACCTTCCCACCTTGGCTGGACTGGGAAATGGGGAGCTTTATTCCAGCTAAACCTTCCCACCTTGGCTGGGCTGGGGAAGGATAAAATTTGTCTCAATCCAACCTTCTCACCTTGGCTGGGTGGAAAAGGATGCTTATTCCAACCAAACCTTCCCACCTTGGCTTGGCTGGGAAAGGATGAAATTTGTCCCAATCAAACCTTCCCACCTTGTCTAAGTGGGAAGGGGGATATTTACCCCCAACCAAACTTTCACAACCTTGGCTGGACTGGGAGAAGATGAAGTTTATCCCAGCCAAACTTTCCCACCTTGGCTGGATTGGGGAGAAGGAGGTTTATCCCAGCCAAACCTTCCCACCTGGTCTGACTGGGAAGGGGGATATTTACCCCCAACCAAACCTTCCCGCCTTAGCTGGGCTGGGAAAGTACCCCATGTACAGGTGAAGGTTTCTCCGGGAGACAAGTCCAGGATGTCATAAAAGGGGAAACTGCTC